TACCAGCTGGGGATCTGTCATTTTGTGATAGCGACAAAATGACAGATTCCTGGCCAGCTAGTGTTATAAAAACAATATGGCCTGGGGTCCCCCATTAAATTCATACCAGAGCTGTACCAAACCAGCATGTGACCTCCTAATTCCCCCTTCCTAAACCAGGCCAGGCCACATGCCTTCAGCATTGAAAGGAAAACTTGCAAGACAACTCGTCACTATGTTGACATGACATGAGCTTCATGCCCACATCCTGTCGCAAAAGGGATTTTGGTGTTGTCATTATCTGGAATCTACATTGTATAATAAACTGGGAGAGCAGGAAAAGCTTTGTCGAGCAGTGGATCATCATAACTGATGAGGATCTACTTCCCTAGACGATGTCATTGATGTTGGAATTAATTTGCAGGGCATAATTTTTTTTTTTTTTTTTAAGTTAAGGATTTACTACTTTTTCTTGATGTAGGCATGTTTTTATTTACATTTGGGAGGAGTAAGTAACAAACGACACTATGTACTCTGTACTTATTCCTAAGGGGGACTTCCGGATTCTGATTAGTCCCTTCCAAATAGCCCACATCCTTTTTAGAGGACAGGATGTAGATCTCCTTTGCAGACGGACAAGACATTTAAAGCTGAATTTAAAGCTTTCAGTACACTTTACGTGTCCCTCACTAACATGTGAGGCTGCTGGATGTGCTATATGAACTGTGTATAGCTGAGGCTACGTGGCTCAAGCAAACTATGTAAAGTGAATCAGAAGCTGGAGTTCAGCTTTAATTGATAAATTCACCTTTCGTAACATGCTACACCCATATTCAGGGTGTAATGTTTCGAAAAGGCAGACCCCGCTCTTCCTCCCCAGCCGCGTCACTCATTCACAGTGTTTTGTGAATGGGAAACCACAAGTTCTGACAGCCTTTGTGGGTATCTGCTTATAGTTCTCAGTAAACTACCATGGTGCTGTGGTAGTTCATTGATTCTTCCTGTCAGTAAGTATCGGCTTGCCCATATGAGGTACGAGCAAGCAGATTCACTAACAGATTTTCAGGAGTCTTCTGATTGCTGGTGCAATGCTTTACAGGCTTCTAACACCAAAAATAGTAAATGCATATTTTTTTTTAACCTGGAAAAAAAATGTGCATTTATTATTTTTTTGTGAAAAGGTGCGACTTATCCTTTTAACATGTGCACCTTTATTGAAAATGCTTATTTAGCACTCCAAGAGAAAAAAACCTAAAGGCTTTAGTTTAACTATTTTAGCTCTTTGGACATAATAGGTGTGATGAAAGAGTGGGGGGTTAAGCAGATCACTTTCACAGTATGGGTGGCATGGGCCCACCCCAGCACCCCCCTCCTGGGCTCTCCTGCAGTTTCTGGGAGTCCAGGACCACATTCGAAGAAGCATGTAACTGAGCATATCTTTGTTCGGTTAAATGCTGTGGAGGGCAGGGGAGTTTTGGGTTCTGTTAGACCCATCACCTGCCCAACGCTGTCAGATGGGGGTTTAACTCCTTGTGATAGCACTAATGTTAAAAATAAAAAAAAATTATATATATATATATATATATATATATATATATATATATATATATATATATACACATACAGAGATATAGATATATAAAAATTATAATGTATATATTATAATTCCCTCTTTAGATTGTAAGCTATGACAAGCACGGTCCTCTGATTCCTCCTGTGTTACTTTTTATTGTAATTGTACTGTCTGCCCTTTTGTTGTAAAGCACTGCGTAAACTGTTGGCACTTTGTAAATCCTGTATTATAATATTAATAATTTTTATTAAGAAAAAAAAATTAAACAAAGCCCCCACTGCTCTACACACATTTGAAAATGCTCACCCAGGGTGTGCATGTCAACCATGATTGCACCACATGTGTGAGATGGGATCAGATATCACAAGCATTAAAGTGAGCAATACGTCTAGCTCCAGTGCTCCCAGTTGAAGTGCCCACAAAAGGGCCTCCATATCAAGCTGCTTCTTGCTCTGGGGGCCCTTCTGTGGGCTCAATCCCGAGCCGCACTGTATGCGTCTATTAACACACAGTGCAACTGGGCCCTGTTCCCCTCTCCTTCATCACTGGATTTGACTGACTGACAGCTGCAGGAGCCAATGACTTCCGCTGCTCTCACAGAGTCCAGTGAGGAGGGAGAATAAGCGTAGCACCACTGCCCTTGGGCACAGCACTGGATTAATTTCAGTCTCGGATAAGTATTTTAGGAGGGCAGAGTGGAGTTGTGCTTAAAAAGTGTTTTTTTTTTTTTTTTTTTCCTTTAATCCAGAGTATGGATTAAGGTAAAAAAAACTAAAAAACTTTAGCCTTCACAAAGACTTTAACTCTAAAGTGCAGTAAAGGCTTTAAAAGTGTTGCCTATGGAGATTTTTAGGTACCACTGTTTTGCACAATATTACGAGCACATGCAAGACTTGCCATGTTTGGTATCTGCTTACTTGATGCAACTCTTTTATATTTTACCAAAAAAACTGAGTATTGTGTTTGTGTGCACTAGTATTCATTTTATTGTATGTTTCCCTGAAACTGTGTTTGATAAACAGTTGTGCAAATATTGTGCAAGATACAAAATTGCAATAATTATCTTTTTATCCTACAAGGCCCCTTGTTCTGGGGGTTTTAAGTGTTTTTTTTTTTAAAAAATTAAAAAATTGCTCTAGTGTGGAAGTGGTTAAATAGAAGAGGACAATACATTGTTTTTCCAAGGCCAATAGACTGAGCTTTGATTGGGTCCCAGGACTGCTTCACACTAGCTGCTCAGGAAAATGTTTTGTGGACGAGCTTTGGGGGGCAGTGCCTTGCGTATTTACAAGGCAAGGCACTGTTTGCCTTTATTTTATTTTTTTTTTTTAATTTTTTTTTTTTTTTAATTTATTGAAATGTCCCAAAATGATATTTCATTTATTTCTATGCACCACATTTCAGCTGTGGTAAATAGACACAAACGATGTGACAGAGTGCTGTGGAGTGGTGTGGAAAAATGCGTTTTTCCACCCAAGAATCTTTGCTGCTCCTGCCTGCACTTCAATGACAATAGGATCCATGAAAAACAATTCTGTGTAACCTTGTACAGACCAACATTTTTCAAGTGCAGAAAAACACTGATCTCCGCAGTGTGAATGAGCCGTAACAAAGCAGATTAGACAGCCGATCTGTGAGAATTTTTGGTGAGGAACACCTGTTTCATGTTCAGCTTTTCTGCTTAATGCTAAGGGAGATCTCTATTGGCCACAGCAGTGAAAAGGATTTTTTTTTTCATCCTAAGCTTATATGTTTGATTTATTTTGTTTACAGTTCTGTGTTGTTTCCTGAATGCAGAGCTTTTATGCAGGGCTACATGTATTGTATGTCTATGTCCTCAATGTATGTACACATTATTTCTAAGGAAATATAATTCCTAAAACCAGCAGCCTTCTGCCACATTATAACTGCAGTCAAGTCTTTGTCGCTTGGTAGGAGAGATTTAACAAAAATGACACATTTTAAAATGCATTGCCTAAACAATAGTCATTGATATATTCACAAGCTCCAATGTTCTCCATATTGTTCACTAAAACACTACTGGTTGGATGAAGATTGTTTTTGACACTAGACGGTTAAAAGTATACTCAAGGAGGAAAGCACGTAAGACATTGTGTCACTCAATTTTTCTTGTCAGGCTAATCATTTAAGACATTTAAGACAACCCCCCCAAGAAATAAATCAGGTTGTTCTATGTGCTCTAGAACTAAGTATCAAGTAGTAGCTGTCCTGGAGATAGGGGAAGATAAACAGAAAAAAAATATATAGATTGATTCAGGATGTGTGAGGTGGAAATGAATTATAAGTGTTTGATAAGATGGCATATTACACCGATTGTGGAACACAGGATGAGTGTGGAGAATTTTTCTGGGTGTTGGCGAGAGTGTGGAGAGATTGGTACGACATGTCACATTTGGTGGGAGTGTCCAAAAATACAGATATTCTGGAAGAAAATAATACATCAAATTAGGTTGATAACGGAAGTAGAGTTGAGATTGGACCCAGAAATCTGTCTTTTTTTTTTTTATAGTACAGATTTGTCACTTAAGAAATATAAAGAAACCGGAATATGGCACTACTTGAATGCTGCAAAAGGATTGATACCCAAGTTTTGGCGTAAAGTTAAGGCGCCAGGGGAGGAGGACTCGATGGATAGAGCGGAAACTGATTAGTAGGATGGAAAAAAAACTGTTTTACACTCGAGGATAGATTAGGAGCATATTATGTGAAATGGAATAAATGGGAAGAATATAGACTGAAGGTTAAATGTATGAAGTAATAATGATTATTTTTGAGAATATTTTCCTTGCTTTAAGAATTTAAATATATATGTTATGATAAGGTAGAAAAGTAGGATAAAATTGGGGGGGGGGTTGAGGAAGGGGGGAGGGAAGGTTGGGGTTTTTGATAGGAAGGGAGAGGGGATGTTATTAAATGTATGGAAATATGTATTTTTGTATTTGTTTGAAAAATAAATTAACAAAAAAGTAGTAGCTGTCCCTAGTCTGCAGCTTTCTATGTTTTTCAGTTACATAAAGGCACCTGTAATTGTGCTAGCCTTTGTTGATTCAGTAGTTTCTGGTTTTATGTCAAGGGCAGTAACATTAGTAATGATGTTTTTCATCCAAGTAAGCCTGGCAGGCATGTGAGCATTTTCCATAACCCAAATTTGTGGTTTTTAAAAATGCATTGGTGTAATGTTGTTTTTTCTTTATAAATGCATTATTTCTGCTGTTGACACTAAATTACATTTTCCAGTTTAAAGGCGGTGAGGAGTGGGGTGTTGGGGTGGATGCATATATGTCATGGTTAACTGGAGTGCAACATGTTAGGGTGTCTTTTATCATATTGTTGAACTGTTTAAAGCATCAAGATATTCTTTATGCATTAGCTGAAGTAAAATGTTTCATGAACTATGAATGTTTATTTTGTATAATATTTTTTAAAGGAACCTACACATTGTGAAGCCAATCCTGATCTTATCTTTGAAGATATGGAGGTTATGACAGACTTTGAGCTGCACAGGCTTTGCAAAGAATTTTCAAGCCTATCCACATTTACACTTGAAAATCAGCTCCTTTTAGATTCTGGGAAATTTGAGGTGCTGGATCAATTACTATCTGACCTTAAGAAAAAGGTATATTTTTTTTTCTTTCTTTACAAATAGGATTGTTGTACCTCCCATAGAATTATTTTCTCAGTGTCCATTGAGAAACATAAGCTTTTAACCTTTTTGGTATAGTGCTGCCAACAGATGATTGAACATTGGCAAACAAAAAACTGTAGGACAGCCAGAATAACCCCTCCTACTACTAGCATGCCTCAGTTTTGTAGAAAAACATTATCAAGAAAATGAGCATAAACACAGAGAGGGTGTGGACCCTGTGCCCCTCAGTGGACTCCAAAAAAAGGAGTTTACAATGAGTACAATAACCTATTTTTTTTTTGTAGTCCACTGAAGAACATATGCCGTCTTTCACCTTTAGCTAAAGGGTGGCCAACAGAGCAAGCAAACTTTAACAGGCCAAAATGAACAATATAAAAATGTCCTGGTTGGAGGAAGATCAGAACTGAACTGGGTGAGAATAGATGTAAAATTTCTGAACATTTTTAAGCCATGAAGAAAAGAGGGGTTTTTTTTTCCAGAAAAAAAAATGGAAATTTTCTAAAAATGTTAAAGAAAAAGTAAAAGTAAAAAAAAGTGGAGTCGTTTTTGAAAGTAATTTTGTTACACCGGGAAGGTGGAATGCAGTGTATATGAAAGTATTATGCTTGAAATAAAAGTACAGCTTATTCAGTAAATAAACTAAACTTGATTTTTAAAAATATATTTTTTATAGTACAGATGGAATAGCAAGGAATGTATATGTTAAGAACATTTCAACTATACATGAGAACATAGTTCCCTTTCCCTTGTAATGATTTAAAAGCTTCCAACCAATATGCATTTTCAGTCATTGACAATGCTGAGGCAAAAGCATATATTGCTCTTGCAGATCAATTTTCTCCTGATTGTCAGTTATTTTATCTATTTAGTCCCCCGGGCGCACCGGTGCGAATTGTCATGCAATTTGATAGTTTCAAATCACATGGCAAGTTACACCCTATTGTCCACAATGGAATCTGTCAAATCGGTGCAACGATTTTGAAAGTAGTTCATGCACTAATTTTTGCAAGTTCAGGTGCAACTTGCACAGACATCTGTGCATGAAGTTGCACAGATGACTTCTAAGTCACACTGATATTCGACTTTGAAATCGTGAGAATTCAAGTGAAGGCGCACGATTTCAAAGTCAGATTCAGTGTGACTGAAGTCTAAATGAAGGAATTTTGTATTTTTGTGAGGCAGTTGTTTATAACACTTCCTTACTTGAAGATGCTGCTGGTGAAGAAACACTTTGTGATTATCCAGAAGCAGCAGAAAGTGTTTCTGGAATGAGAAAATTATAAAATCCTCCTGCGCTTAGTTGGACCTGTGAATAAAGCTGCTAACACCTTACCACATACCAGAATGGTCAATATAAAGTGTAATAATGTGGTGCTGTGCTAGTATATGCACTGTAAATTAATAAGTAACAATGTGAATATAAAATAGTGAACAATATCCCCCCTATGAAAACAATTTCTGAGTATCTAGGTGACTACATAAACAACATATATGAAACTACGACGAATGGGTCACATTCATCATAGTTTCATATATGTTGTTTATGTAGTCACCTAGATACTCAGAAATTGTTTTCATAGTGGGGTTACTGTTCACTATTTTATATTCACATTGTTATTAATTTACAGTGCATATACTAGCACAGCTCCACATTATTACACTTTATTTCTGGAATGAGAACTCTAGAGGGAAATTGTACTTTTCAGACACAGACTGGCTCAGCCCTGCCCCGCTCTCTGCTCACTTAATTTGACTGACAGCAGCATAAGCCAATTGCTCCTGCTGCTCTCAGCTTGTGAGAGGGGGGGAGAGGAGCTGCTGCAGACGTGCACAGCGCTGGACCGAGATCATGCTCAGGTGAGTATTTAGTATGGGGGGGGGGGGGGGAGGTGCTGAGAGCTGCCTGTAAAAAGTATTTTACCTTAAAGTGAAGAATGCATTAAAGTTAAAAAATGTTACCATTACAACCACTTTAAGAATATTCTATGTGTCTTACATCTCCATAAAATGTATATTTTCTTAATAAAAAAAGTTATGATTTTTAATGAATACATAAATGAGTTAAATTTAAAACTTCACAAAATCAACCATGTACTCTATATGATGATTTTGCATTTATTTCTATGCAGGGTGACAGAGTTGTACTTTTCAGCCAGTTCACTATGATGTTAGATATATTAGAGGTCTTTCTGCAGCACCATCAGTATCGTTATCTCCGACTAGATGGGAAGACTCAGATATCGGACAGGTGTGTATAAAAGCTAAACCTTTTTCATTGCTTTGAGTGTTGTATCATGGAATGTGTTCAGGCTATTTACATATTAAGGTCTGCTTATGAATGTTTGCAAACCTGTTCTATTTGTCTTTTATATCCATTCTTAGAAAATGTTATGTTGTAATGCTAGGTCACTGGATATGGTATTCAACTTCAGGAATGGAAACCTTATGCACAATTCAGGAACCACCTTCTTTTTGAGCAAAAGACGCATAAAAAAAACAGCTGTGTTTTTAGGTGCATTGCCTGCCTTGCTCTTGGGATCTGTCAATGCCTGTTCTGCCTCTTTGTAAATTTTCTTATGCAACGCCATTGGAAAGAAGTTGTCCATGTTTGCTTGTTAAAACTGTAAACAAAATTGTATTATTCCCACAGGGAATGCTGTATATTAAGGCATAATTTGTAATACCAATGGTTTACAAGGATGACATGTGACTGCTTGGCTTTCAACATCCACATTTTTTTTAGAATGGTTGAGATAGATAGAAACAGATTTGTTTCTACATCCTTTGGTTGTCTTGGTTGAGACTGTGCATTTCATAACTTGTGTGTTTACTGAAGTACCTTTTGCATATTTAAACAGTGTTTTTTTTTTTTTTCTTTTTTTTCTTTTTATAGGATACATCTTATAGATGAATTCAATAGTGACATGGATATATTTATATTCCTTCTATCTACTAAAGCAGGTGGACTTGGGATAAATCTTACCTCAGCAAATGTTGTAATCCTCCATGATATAGACTGTAATCCTTACAATGACAAGCAAGCTGAAGATCGCTGCCATAGAGTGGGCCAAACCAAGTAAAGTTTTAGTTTTGCTTTAAAATTTGTGGAACTTCAGTCAAGCTTTTTATTTGTTTGGGTAGTCTGGCTAAGGGTGAGAATCTCACATCAGCTTCTCTTTGTGCTGCCTGTCGTCTTCGAGGAGATTTCACTTTGCTTTCCTTTCCCAGAAACCTGTTGGGGAGAAAATTGTTACAATGAATTTCACCCTCCTTTTCTTTTCCAGTCACATTAGTTGACAACTAACGGAGAGAAGATGAATTCCCCAAATGACAGCAAAAAGATAACTGATTCTAAACCATCCTTACTTTATGAGCAGAAAACCAGTGTGATCCAAACACCATTTACTTGCTAAGCTGAAATGGTGTACATTTATTTTCACTGCTTGACTTGAGAGTAATTTGACTCTGCTACAAGCCTAAATTGTAATCTTAAATATGTCCATGTGAATGAAAACTCTTTTTCAGTTGTTGACAATGTTTTATTAATTTAGTTCACCACCCTTTTCAGTCAGGCTTGATTGCAGCAATTCCAAATACGCCTACTTTATTCTAGATGCTTAGTAATTGTAGGGCTAAAGAACAATTCCTTATTCACAGTTTAAGTAATATGTTTACGCAAGCCAATTCTTAAAATATCAGCGTACGTATGTATGCCAAAGGTTAGCTCTGTGTAAGCTTTTATTCCAAAGTTCAAGATATATGAAAACTCATCATCAGTGGTTGCCTTTAGTAGGAAATATGACAACATTCTAACCATTGTCATTGTAAGTTTTAATATCATGCATTACACTAATATACTATGATTTCTTAATCTGACTAAGGTTTAAGGAAAGGCTTGTGGATTTGGTGTATCTGGATTTTTCGAAATCATTCAACAACGCTTAAATCACAAATTGAGGCCTATTGGCATAGACCAGCGGTCTCCAAACTGCGGACCGGGGGCCAGATGTGGCCCTTTCCTTGCTTTTATCTGGCCCTTGGGACATTACTTCTCCCACTGATACCAATGACAGGTCACTATTCCTCCCACTGACACCATTGATGGGGCATTATTCCTTCCACTGACACCAATGATGGCACACTTTTTTGCCCACTGATACCAACAATGTGGCACTATTCCTCCCACTGACACAATTATTGGGGAACTATTCCTTCCACTGACACCAATAACGGCACTATTCCTCTCACTGACACCAATGATGGGGCACTATTCCTTGCGCTGACACCAGAGATGCGGCACCATTCCTCCCACTGATACCAATAATGAGGCACCATTCCTCCTGCTGATACCAGTGATGGGGCACCATTCCTCCCACTGATACCAATGATGGGGCACCATTCCTCTAACTGATACTAATGATTGGGCATTTTGTACTCCCATTGACACCAGAGTATTTTCTATTTACACTGGCCACAGTCCGGCCCCCTCAAAGTCTGAAGGACAGTAAACCGGCCCTTTGTTTAAAATGTTTGGAGACCCCTGGCTTAGACCATAGCATATATACCTGGATAGAAAACTGGTCACAGGGGCATGTCCAAAGGGAGGTGATAAATAGCGTGTACTCAGAAAGGTCTAGAGTGGTAAGTGGGGTACCCCAAGGCTCTGTCCTGGGAGCATTTCTCTTTAATCTATTCGTAAACGATATTGAAGATGACATACAAAGCTGAATCTCAGTGTTTGCTGATGATACACAGCTAAGCAGAGCAATAACATCATAGCAGTATGTAGAACCCTCACAGGAAGACCTCAATAAAATAAAGAGATGGGTAAATGCATGGCAAATGAGGCTTAATTTTGGAAAATCTAAAGTAATATACCTGGACAGCAAAAACATGAACTCAAGTTACTCGCTAGGGGGAGGACAATTGGGCGATTCCTGTATGAAAAAAAGATCTGGGGGTCCTAGTAGATCAGACTCAGCAAGGGCATGCCAAGCTGCAGCAAGCAAAGCAGAGACACAGACCGGGCATGGGGGGGGGGGAGGGGGACAATTTCTTTAAAATTATTTATTTTATTATTCATTTTACACTGCTCCCTTTACATTTTTTGATCACTTGTATTGTTATCACAAAGTATGTAGACATCCCTTGTAAAATCAAAGGGCAAACCCCAGATCTGAACCTGTCCTTTGCCAGTAATGGCCAGTAAACTACTGGCCGAAACTGTAAGTGACTAAATACTCGTCGCTTCCAGTTTCATATTTGATGAGGATGATCGGGGATGTTCCAACTTCAGTCCAGGCTCACCGGTGGGATGGTAGAGCCCTGAGAGGCAGCGGAGGGTGACAGGACGACCCCGTTGGCTCTCACTGCTGTCCGTCACAGCCAGTGAGGAGAGGGTGGGGTTGAGCCATGCTGTGTGTGTTTTATAGATGCACAGCAAGCTCAGGAGTGAGTACGCACAAGTGTCCCCAGGGAAAGCAGCTTGCTTTGGGGGCACTCAGCAGAGGGAAAGGGCCAAGAGCGCCAGCAGGTGACCCATGAAGAAAAGGATCGGGGCTGCTCTGTGCAAAACCATTGCACAGAGCAGGCATGTATGACATGTTTGTTTAGGTGGGTTAGGCACATTCTTCTAGATGAAATAGGCTTCTAATGCCGATCATATTTGGATTCATTAAAAAAGGTAACCTCATGCTGGGTGATAATACAGTGGGTATAGAAAAAAAGCACCCCCCTTTTAAAATAACCACTTTTTGTAGCTTTACAGCCTTAAATGAAGACAAACACATATTTTGTTTTAGCCAGTTGTATTTACTCTTATGCAACTCAAAACATCCGAGCGAAAGATATAACATCTACATGTCAGAAAAAAAATAAAACGGAATCACTGAGTTGGAAAAAAGATCACTCCCTTGTGTCAGTATGTTGTTGAACCACCTTTTGGTTTAAATAGAGCCTTTAGTCTGTTGGGATTTGTCTCTATTAACTTTGCACATCTAGACTTTGCAATATTTGTGCACTCTTCTTTGCAGAACTGTTCAAGTTCAGTTAAATTTGATGGTGACTGTGGACTGCAGTCTTTAAGCCATTCCACAGAATTTTTTAATGGGGTTTAAGTATAGGCTGTGACTAGGCCATTTCTCTTTCAATCACTGTGTGGGGTCATTTTTGCTGTATGCTTTGGGTCATTGTCATGTTGGAAAGTTAACCACCTTCACATTGACAACTTTCTGGTAGAAGGCAACAGATTTTCCTCAAGAGTTTGACGTGATTTTCCTTCTATCCTAACAAGTGCTTCAGTCCCTGTTGCAGAGAAAAACCCCTTAATATTACCACCTCCATGCTTAATGGTAGGAATGGTGTTATTTGGATGGTGAGCTGTATTGGATTTCTTACAGACATATTGTTTTTAGTGTTGAGGCCAAATAATTAAATTTTAGTCTCATCTGACCAGAACACTCTTTTCCAAGTGGCCTCAGAACCTTAAAGGTGCGTTTTTGCAGAGCTCAGTCATGACTGCATGTGGCAAATAAGGAGTGGCTTTTTTTTGTAGCCCTCCCATACAAGCCACATTTGTGGAGAATTTGTGATTTTGTTGTCACATGCACACTATGACCACTCTTTGTCATAGATTCCTGCAACTGCTTCAGAGTTGCTGTAGGCCTATTGGTAGCTTCTCTTACCAGTTTCCTCCTGGCTCATCAAGTGTGGAGCGGCGTCCTGATCCAGGGAGGGTTTGTGTTGTACCAAACACCTTCCACTTCCACATAGTAACTTGCGCCTGTCCACAATTTTATCCCGGAGATTTTTTGACAGTGCCTTGCCACCCATAGTTGATTGTTTCAGTCGCACTATCAGGGACTGAAATTCTCCAGGAAAGCTCTTTTGATGCTAAGCTAATCAAAATGATCACAACTGATCACAGTTGAAAGTCAAGTGGCTGTGTGTCCCATTGAGTAGGTAATTAGTTACACCTGATTTGACTTTAAAAGTAATTTTTTGGAGGGCGGTGATCCCTTTTCCGACTCAGTGATTCTGTTTTTGATTCTTTTTTTTTTTCTAACATGTTGGTGTTTTATCTTTCACTTGTATGTTATAGGTTGCACTGAGTAAATGCAGCTGGATAAAACAAAAACTGCGTATGTTTTCATTTCAGGCTGCAAAGTATCAAAATGTGATTATTTTAAAGTGGGGTGATTCTTTTCTATACCCACTGTTTATTGCTCACCAAAATGTAACCTGTAGGCATGTGAGAGTATTAATGTGTATAGAAAACTGTATCTGAGGGAGATACAACTGCACAATCATAAAAGCATTGACATCCTATTGGCCACTCCTCAGACCTTCTCATTGGTAAGATCCTTCTGTTCACAAACCCTATGCATCTGAAAATGCGGTGCATTTCACAATTACACCTCCTTATTGAATTGGCTTCCCCTAGCTTACATGTGCAATCTGTTTGTCCCCTCCAGCTCACTAAGTGCCGGTTCACATATATGCAGATTGGATGCGGTTTGAACCGCATCCAATCTGCATGAAATGTGAAGTAACATTGCTTCCTATCTTGCCTGTTCACATATGTCCGGTGCACTGGCAGTGCGGTTTGAAAAAGGATCCTGTACAATTTCTGAGCAGTGATGTCTGGTTCAGGTGCGGATTACAGGCTATGGACTTCTATGGGAACCGTTTCTAAACCGCATATGAGTGAACAGTATAAAATCCTGGTCTAAACCTGTCCTAAATCTGATGTAAGCCTGACTTGAACCGCTGAACAACTACGGCAATTAGCTGTGAAACCTGAGCTTCAACCCGCACTGCACATGTGTGAATCAGCTCTGAACCTTTTCAAAAGCATTCTTCGCATTGAAAGTTCACCTTGAGAATCAACTGACATTTGCTCCAGCATAGAACTGAGACGTTCTGGCCTTTTATTTCACTCTGTAGGAAAGGTACAGAAACCATCCCTATTGCTTTCCTCTCTCTGATGCATTCTACTACCCATTCCTACTTGCTGCTTCACAAAAAGCATACGAATTCCCTACACCTCTTTGCAGCAATCTCAAGGGGCGATCATCCCCGTCCCTTTTTAGGACTTACAAGGACTTTAAATCTTTAACAGGGACCCATGTTCATTTAGGGATGCATTTACCCATCGTGCCATTAAAACATCTCTCTTAATTTCTGCAGTGGCTAGGCTCCTTCAAGGTCTTCTGTAGATCTGCCACTATACTCTGTCTATTCCTAGCAAACGCATCATGTTGGGTTATACTCACTGTTTGTTCATATATCAATGCACTTCTTACATTGCTGAAAAAAAATCACTACACTCTGGTGCTATGTTATTAGACCTTTAATCACACCCTGAACATTCATATCCCAGAGTGCCTCAGGGACTTTAATACAAGGCTGTGGAGCTTAATTCTTTTAATCATATTGTATGCCCAAATGCTAATGCTCACACTTCTCCTTTTTTCTGCCTTCTCTTGCTTCTCCTGGACCTTTTACTGTCTGGGCCTCCTGGGTCTAATCTTGACATAGTTTGTTTTTACATTCTCCATCAGCACTTTTTTTTTTTTTTTCTTGTCTGTCTGGTGTCATGTTCAAGAATATACTCTCGTTAGCACCCCTCAGTTGCAATTTCTCTGATGTTATGATGGACTCTGCTTGTACACTGTTTTATGCACTCAGACTCACTGGAATTATTCTCCTTCCTATATGAGGAGGTTAACTCCACTACTTAGAAGCCTCATTTACTTTTTATTACTATAAACCATATCTCCTGGGCTTACAACCCTCTGCTCTGAGCTCTGATATGCCCCTTCCTCCTCGTATCAGAGTTGCAGATTACCAAATTGCCAGTTTATGGGCTGAGAAGCTCTCACCACCTCAAACCTGGCCTTTTGTATTGGGCAACTGCATTTGCTAGCTTAGTAATGGTAAAGGATGCATTGTCCCTATTCTCGTTGCTCCCCTTAGGCGTTTGTTTCCATCTCCGTATGCGTTCTGTATGTGCCTCAGCACTTGTCACACTTTTTCACCAAACATCGTCAATTATATTACTTCTCTACATACTTTTTTTGTCCAGAGATCTCCTTGTATCTCTCATTCACTAGTTAGGCACATTCCAACTTCTAGATTGGGTGCCCACTTTTCCTGGGGTATGCAGATCAGTTCAAGTGAGGTAGTGCTCACCTAATGTGATGCTAGGGAACCCTAATCCAGAATTTGATCCTGTTCCTCATCGTGCAAATTCTTCTGTTTAAAATGACCAAAACTCTTGCCCTAGGTAAGCTGCAGGTCTTTGTTTGGTCTTGTACATCTTCTTCCTAACACCTTGGCTCTTGCACACTGTTTGCAAGAAGTTGCTCCTCTTCATTACCTACTGTAATTACACTGTTCAACAAATTTTTATTTTTTGCCAGTTTTGGAAACAAAAGGATCCATTTCTTAATGAATTTCACATTCTGAGTTCAAATATAACAATGAAATTTGTCAATTGGCTCTAGTTTTTCTGTAAACGGAAAGTTTTCTACTATAGGCGTAATGACTACATAATGCACAATAATTATATAGATAGATGTCTTTCCACAAATATAAAGCAAGTGATATTGACTACATAACAAAGCCTAAATGGCATAATATATTGCATAGGATTACCAAGAAAAATTATAGCCATAAGCTAAGTTGAATCATTTTAATACTTAGGATTCTCACTAGTTTTGTCTTCAGTTTGTGTCGGTTTTGCTTCTCTTGGCTTTTCTCTTGTATTCGAGGAAAGGGCTATCTCTTACAACTGCACGTGACTACACGCTTCAGGTTCTTCCTCACTTGACTCAACCACAAAGGATTCTGGTGCTTTAGGAATTGGTAGCCCCTCTCCATGAGGAACTGGACGTATTGCCGATGGAATATTTGGATAGTGCACAGATAACTTTTTCTTCTTATTTAGCCCTTTTACAATTGGAGGCACCATACAAAAGTAACAATTACTAACATGATCTGTTGGCTCTCTCCAAATCATTGGCACAGCGAAAGGCATAGATGCCTTTTTTCCATTCAACCATTGCTCCAGTGCCGTCCCACAAGAATTGCAGCATATATGTGGTGCCCAGCTCTTGTCCTGGTCTCCTATCTTGCAGCCAAAATACAAGTTGTAGGCTTTCTTAATCATTCCTGTTATCCTCCTTTTTTGTGAGATAAAAGTTATTTCACCGCAGATATAGCAGAAATTATCTGCTTTATTCACACAAGTTCGAGGCATTACTGAGTAGCCTATATAAGCATAAAACGAAATGTAAAGACGCTGTCGAACTACAATCAGCTACAGATACTGCAGCTTTTATGCAGTGAAGTCATGCAATTAAAGGCTAATATTGCATCATCTCAGTATACATGCAATTTTCTATTGGTCACCAGTATCAATTGCGCAATATGCGGCTGAAGTTGCATCATAATTTTGAATGGCTTACGTCATTAGATGGGTGAATATATCATGGAAACTAGAGCCAATCAACATTTTTTAGGGTCATTTTCGTTTTCAGCACCCCAAAATTATGTAACATTAGCTAATTTTATGCCCAAAACTTTTTACCTGTTGAACAGTGTTATCTGGGACCTTCCTCAAATGCTCTTGTCCACGTAGTGCCCTCCACTTGTTTTCTAGGGTGTTACTCCCTTAAAAGGGCCTCTGTAGGAACAGAGCCTTCTTGTCTCTCTTTTCTTCTTATCCCCTATTTTCTTCTTGGGAAACAAAGTGTCCTGAACGTCAGTCCTTCATGTTTCCCTGGTGTTCTTATCACCTCTTGTGAGAATGTCCATTCTCCCTCCCCTTGTCCTGAAGGCATGGATAAAATTTACGTTTCAGCTTATTGATGGGTTCAAGGCTACCTGCGCTGTCTTCCCTTGGGAACCCTCTTCATTTTCCTTACAGCGTGGTCCCTGTATGAGTTCCCTTCCTATTCTTCCACTTCATGGTTCTTTCCTTGCTTTTTTTTCCCCAGGGCTTCTGCCCTCAGGGTATGAGTCGTTTCTTCCCTATCTGACCCTATTCTCCTAGAGATGTTGGGCTGCTTTGGCTATTTACAGAATCTAGCATCTGTTTTTCTCACAAGTTGCAGGGCCACCACCTGATCTTCTGTTTACATTTTTAAAAATGTATTTGCCAGGTGGCTGTATGAGCCTGTGCTGTCAATTGTCTGTATGGATCAGTTGAACTTTCTTGTTTCTCCTGTGGACCTGTTGCTATGGTTTTGACACCCCTTGGATGGGGCTATAGGGATACACGGGGGCAGTCCCAGCAAAGTATTTTGCCAGTGTCCAATCACCTTAAGGTACTGGCATATATCCCATGATCTAAGAATCAATTCCTGTATCTTGTACTGGACTATGGTATGGTATTTATAGGTACATCAAAGTTCTTATTTTCTGCTCATAACAGTAAAGTGTGTTTGAAAATGGCTAACAAGTTACTATGAATGTCTGCGTATTTTGTCTGTTTTTGACTTATGTTACAGATGGCATAGTGTGCTTTGAGTTCACTTTTTTTGCGCTATATTTGTAGTGATAGTAGACAGAAAACTTTCTTTACCTTCCCAGACTGAGTCAAATCCTCTTTCATTTGTGTCCCATATGCTCCCCCTCCACGGGGCTTCATCCTTTAGTGGTGGGGGTCCAGCAATAGAGGTCCAGAAAGCCATGAGCAGAACTGGTTGTGGCCAAGTGCTGAATGACAAGTTACTGGCTTGCCTTATGTTGCCTGAAATGGATAACTCCTAAATGAAATGCAACCCAGCAGATTGAGAAAATAATAGAATATTGTCTGTTTTGGAAGACACAGGCAAGTTCTTTAGAAACAAAGTTGAGAAATCTATTCTGCCCTCTGAAAGATTGAACCTCCATTCTCAAACAGATCCTCTGTTGTTTAATAAGGTGTAGTAAGAGCACTGGTGTTTTTGTATGTTCCTTATACCAAGATGCCATATCCATCATGATAGTCACACATTTTGTAGAAGGAGAATAATATACAAAATGCATGATTGTTTTGTGTGTTTTTTTTTTTCTTCTTTTTAAGGGAAGTGAATGTTATCAAGTTAATTGGTAAAGAAACAATCGAGGAGTCCATGTTAAAAATCAGTCAACAAAAGTTAAGACTAGAACAAGATATGACAACCACGGATACAGGTACGTCTGCTTTGGAAACCTAGTAAATAAGCAATTATAGTTGCCAGCTCAAGAAAGAAAAAAGAAGTCATAGCGATGCTTGAATTATGGCTTGCAAATTCTGTTAACATTTGTTACTATTTTCTGTTAACACAAATTATGTTAATTTCAAACAGGATACCATATATGTTTACCATTCACCTACCTAACTTGAAAAATAAATGGAAAACTATTAAACCTAATTAGACAACTACTATGTTTCAGTTATCTGAAACAACATTGCTTTTTTTCCCCCTGTAATTACTAATAATTCATAGCATAACAATAGCTTAGAACAGCAAGACTAGTAAGCCTGGTTCATCTTCCATTAAAGCATATGTCAAGGCAACCGCTGCAAAAAAAAAAAAGAAGAATGAGGCCCTTACCTTCTTTGGCATGGCAACACAGCTTTAAATTACCCGTAATGTCAGCCTTGCCTGCTTCCATCTAGATTACAAACAACGCAGACCCCTGCTCATCCTCTTCTCCCCATCCCCTCCTTATACACAGGCAAAGAGCACAGGAATGTATCAGCTCACAAGGTTTCAGGTGAAATTCATATTTTTTTACATTTACTGAATTAATAGAACTAAATATTTAATGGTATATTTAGCCGGCCAAAAGGGAGAAAATAGGAGCAGTTCATTGTTCGTGTTCTATATACACTTTAAGTTTTTACTTACCATCCATCTTGGGAGAATATTCCCAACTTTGCCAGTGTACCAATCAGTAGAGGTCACAGACTGCATATGCCTCTCTATAGGCTCCAAGACCATTGTGAGTGACAAAGCGTATGTGAACAACTCATGGGGAGGAAGAGAAGAAATGTGTGTTTTTAGATCATTTTCAGATCAAGGCTGTGTATTGGTAAAGTTTACAACTAACTGAGCCTTCTCGCAGATTAGGTATGTAGTGCCTTTGTAAGAGCACAAAAGGTACTTGGCCACCGCACAGTTTTATGTAAGGGAAAAGGAACAGGGATGAAGAAGATCCAGAGGCAGCGGCAGAGGAAGCTTTGTAAGGTCTCTCACCCTCAGAATCCAATACACCTGATGTTGCGGATTCATGCAATATTCTTGCCTGTGTGAATGTGCTCACTTTTGCTGTGCACAAAAGCCTTGGCATTGTTGCACTTGACCCCAGTCTCACCATTCCCTATTGAGTACAAAGAGACCTGAAAAATCTAAAAAGATATTCCCGGTTCATGAACAAATAGAATGGGCAATTTATGATGATTGGGTCAATTTCAGAGAACATTTTCACCTTTCTGAAAATCCTTGCCAAGCTCTATCCAGCAAAAAGAGTTCACTAAAAAGTGGTCTGTCCAGGTAGGTGATCTTGCCATCTCACTCCTAAACATCTCACTGTACCAATTAAAGATGTTTCTTAATTCAAAGTTTCTACAGAAAGGAAGTTTGAGATATGCTCCTAAAGGGTTACTAAACCCACAACAGTAAAATCAGTTTGTATATGCAGTAAAGCCTGCTTCATATACTCACTGTAGAACCTAAGGGGTTAATCCTCTGAATTGTGTAAAAATGCTGTTTGACCCTGACTTCTCTGATCCTCCTCTTCCAGTGCCCCCCTCTTATCTCCTGATAAGACATATCGCATGGAGACACTGCACATTCTCAGTTTGGTGTGTATTGCTAGAGAGGTTTTGTTTTGTCTTGGGAGAGTGCATGTGATCAGCACAGGGCCAATAAGCACTGTCCAGACAGAGGCCAGGGGTTCTGCATCCTCCTAGAGCAGAAAGAAAACTCCTACAAGCTTTAACCAGTGCTCTGCTGAACACTGATAGAAGTCACAAGACTCAAAAGTTTAAATGCCCTTATCGATCTACTCAGGCTTCAGACTCAAAACCTAGTTCAGTCCTTCCTTTTGGCGTAAGACTTTGGCTTCAAAGCCCACCCCCTAAATCACTCTTCCCAATGAAGGGACATCCTCAATCCGATGAGTGCAGGGACATCAGTTTGCTTCTCTTTGAGTCCTAGGAGGCAAGACCTGTGGGTTAAATTGTTGGTTTCAAAGAGGTACAAGATAGAGTATAAAATTCTACCCCCCCCTCATCGCTTTTTTTCTCTCTCAAATTCAACCTTAAGATAGATTTGCATAATACCCTAAACGTCACTTGTCCCAGGGAGTAGTTGTACTATTATCCCTAGTAGTAGTTGTACCAGTAGGTTTAAAAGATTCTACTGAAACCTGTTCATGTTACCTAAACTTAAAGTGATTGCAAAGGTAATTTAAAAACAAAAACATAGTTACCTGCTCTGTGCAATGGTTTTGCAGAGAGCAGCCCCAATCCTTCTTTTCTCTGGTTTCCTGTTGGCGTTCCTGGCCCCTGCCAAGTGCTTGCTTCCGACCGAGCCCTGCTGTGTGTCCATAAGATGCACAGAGCATGGTTAGCCCCCCCCACTTTAGTGTGAATATTAAAATCCCTCAACAAATACCTAAATTTGGCATGGAATCCACAAGGTCAGTTATTGCTTTTCTGAGACAAAGGGAGTACTTGGCATCTGTATAAATCCAAGATGCTATCTACATATGGTCTTTTATCCACATCAGCACTTTCTGGGCTTTGCACTAGGAGACCACTTCCAGTCTGTCGAACTGCCATTTGGCCTATCCTCTACTCCCGAGTATTTCCAAAGGTCCTTGCACCTCTTCTTGTGCTTCTAAGAACTGAGTGCATCCAGGTCTCAGGTTATCTAAATGATCATTTGCTTGAAGACTCCCTTCCAGCTATCTGCATGTCCATAAGATGATTGAGCTGCTTCAGGTTGTTTGATCAGCTTGCAAAATCTGCTCTCCAATCTTCTTTTCACCTGGAATACCTGGGTCTGCTCCTGGGGCAAATGCTTATGCACACTCAAAATTTCTGTGTTTCTGTCTTATTTGTGTGTCACAGTAAAATTACTTTGCAACTTCAAAGTCAAAGGCATGCTATATACATCAGATGGTACAAAACTCCCAAAGTATCCATTTAGATTCCAGTGTGTAATGCAACGAAACAAAAAAAATGCCAAGAGACGTGAATGCTTTTGCAAGGCACTGTATTTTTTTATATTTTCATCAACAAAAAAAATCTGCAAAATGATGTTAATGGTTTTATTCTGTGATGTATAGTAGTCTGTTCTTTTTTCTTAAGTCGAAAATGCATCACTTTTAGCTGCTTTATATACATGGTTCCAGCACTGCTTCGACAAGTAGTTACAAAATTGGACCACTGCACATAACCCACTTTTTTTTAATCGTACACTATGGGATACAGGAGAGTTAATTCTTAGACCATTGGGTGATCCTTCACTTCCAGGTGAGGTTTGACATGGCCATGCGCACTGCGCTTTGAATTGAGGGCATGGTGAATGTACCATCAATTCAGAGCTCTGTGCCTCAGCTGTGACTCCCCTGCACATGCGTAGGAGTAACCTAATTTTTTTTTTCTTTCATAGTATGCTAGTACACATTGGCAATGGCACATTATGCCAATAACTTGCAGAGGGACTGGATTTTTTTTAATGACTTTACTACTGCTTTAAAGATGAGCACTTGGAACTCTTTTTAGAAAAGTTACAGTTCTAAATTGATGAGTTTGGAGATTCTGGCTGGTGGTACTTGTGGCCATATAGCCTCTTGAATATTTCCTATGCCTGGGTTTAAAACGTTTTGTCCAGTGGCTTCAAGCTGGAGTTTTGCATTTTGCTTTCACCATGTTTCATGCTGTCAGAATGTGCCTGCTGTACTTAACAAATGAGCAGCCTGGACCTGTTGCACTCTCAAGGTGGCATTGTTACTGTTCTAGAACCTGAAAGGCTAGACAGTTGCTATTCCTAACTTTTGATGGTGCCCAAGCCAAATAGCAATGTTCAGTCTATTCTGAACCTAAAGAGCTTGATAAAGATTTATTTTGTATGTTCAGAATATCCATATGGAATCTGTAGGATCAGTGATTCCTTTCCTCCATCAAGGCCTCAGTGAAAATGTCTAGCCTCCGTGAAAATTGGCTGTCTTACCTATACATTCCCATTTGTCTGCCATCTGTCAGTGCTATCTGCGGTTTATGATGAAGGAACAACTTTTTTAGTTGAGGTTTTGCCCATTGTTCTGGCCACAGGACCACGAGTGTTCACAAAGGTGCTGGCCCGAGGATCTATATTATGGGGCATCTGGACCATTTGCTTCAGCTGGAACAATCAGTGAAAAGAATCCGTTTCAACGTCAGTGTGCAATAAATGGTGCAAGTCCTGCAGGACTTTGCCTGGGTCCATAATCTCAAAAAGTCAACCCAGAAACGGCTGCATCACCTAGAAATTCAAGGCCTCGTCTCAGACACAGCCCTGGCAAAAGTTTTTCTTCCCCAACAAGAACTTTGGACCTTCCTGCTAAAGGTACAGGAGTTACATTCCCTGGAACACCCCTTTATCCACTTTTTAATGAGGATGCTGGGGGTGATGGTAGCCTCCTTTTTGAGGCAATCCTGTACCCTCAGTTTCATTAAAAAAATAAATTCAACATCCTGATAGCATACAGCGAGCAGACTCTTTGGACACAGAGAAACCTATATAAATTAGTGCAGCGCTAAATTGTAATAGTGATATAACAGAGATTGACAGAAGTAAAATACATCCAGAAAGGAATATATGTTCAAGCCCCCAAAAGATGATAAAGTCCTGTGCAAGTGCAAAAATAAAGTTGAGTTCCAATAAAGTGATTAAGATCTTACAAACGATCCATCAGAGGCTCATACCATCAAACCATAGTATGTGAATCTGTTTATATCTATACGTAGAAGAACCAGAGAAAATCAGCCGCTTACCAGAAGCGACATGAACATTACCTATCCAGCAAATGGTCATTCAGCGCTTGTGGGGTTGATCAAGGCCACCCTCCGGCCGATGAATCCACTCTGCTCCACACACTTGGGCTGCAATGTCACTCAAACAAATGGAAGCGCTTCCATAGTGTAAAATTCAATGAACATTTTGGTTTAATATATGTTGTTTTGAGCTTAGTATCACAGGCTTTATTTGTGCTAGCAGCTCACCTTTTCTGTGACATACCTGAGCGTGAAAGAAAAAAATGTATTTACAAAGAGACAAATGTCTGAGCACTAAAACCTAGTTATCCTTGGACTGATCACTATCTAAGCCAGCACTGGAGTTTGGGGAATCCTCCTTCCTGAGGTGTGGAAGGTACTGACAATAGACACCAGCCTGTCGGGCTGGAGAGCACTCATGGATTGTCTGTTCAGGGCATGGAAAAGACAGGCTTCCTCTCAATCCTTAATTGCTAGGTGGATTCAGCAGTTCATTACTCAGACATACAACCTGAAGGTTCACTCCACCAGAAGTGTTGGTGCTTTATGGGATTTTCAACATCAGGCCCTGGTTACCCCAGTCTGTAAGACTACCAATTGGTCTGGGCACATTACCCAAGTTTTACCAGGTGGATGTTAAGGCCTCAGCAGACGTTGACCTTAGACAGAAAGTTCTCCAAGTAGCCTTGTAGGGGCCTTCTTAGTTCCTCTTTTTTTCTTCTTAAGGGGATTTCCTGTTACCCATTTGCTGTGGTCTGCCCCTAATGGGATTGCTTTTGGATGTCCCAGTGGTTCAGAAATGTACTCTTCTGTGTTCTGTGATGAGGACACCGGAAACAAGATTTTTGACTTGCCTGTAAAATACCTTTCTTGAAGTACGTGACAGGACAAAGGTCCTTCTCCTTTTGTTTTACTGCAATAATGTTCCCTGACAAAACTCAGGCTGTGCTAGGAGTAGGAGGGAGTTATGCAGGGAGTCAAGCTTCAGTATGTATGTTGTCATATGCCTTCTAATAGATTTGTCATTAGGAATATTTGAAGAAAGCAAAGTCTTGCCCAACAAGATACAAAACAGCAGTGCATCCAACACATTCACCATAATTTACTAATTAATTTGAACATGTTCACTTTCATAGTGAATTTTTATTCATCTTTGTGAATGAGATGAAATGAAGTGAAAATGCATGTGCAAGGCAATTTAAAAAAAATATGCTTGCATATGATTGAATAACTGAAATCAGCACAGCTTCACATTATTTACTAAGCAAAGTAAAAATTCTCTTTGCAAATACTTAGCGAATAGGATAAAATTGTTCTGATATTAATCTAGCAATAATGTGCAAGAAAAAAAATCACTTAGCTCAGTGAATGATACATTTGAAATGTAAACATAGAACAGAGGGCGTGCCAGCCTAGTGCATTATCCTCAAATAATGACTTTATTAATAGAAACATGGTATGTATTATACTTAAAAACCCACAGATGTACAAAGGCTTGTCACAACACAACAGCAAATTCCAACCTACGATGCATCTCATCACATGGTAGGATATACAAAGATCCAACTGACACATTTCGAGGCCTTGCTTCTTTTTCAGAGCCATATGATACATTTGTTCCGACTTTATTCTTCCAATAATGTGCAAGGAAAAAAATAGTAAAACAAGCCCACCATCACTTAGATTGGGTTGATTGGCTCCTGTGTGATCCTATATGTCTAATGCTGCCACAGCATTGGACACCGCCTTAAAGTAGTATTAAAGTGATATTAAAGGATTTTTTTTTTGTCTTAAAATAAAAAGAACAAATAAATCAATGGAGCTCTTCCCAGTATTATTGATGCTTACAAAAAGCCACAGTGCAGAATTTAAAGTTATGTCTAATCTCACAACATGATCGTTTGAATAACATCAAATGTGCATTCAAAATAATCTATACAGCAAATATATGAATTTACTCTCCTTTGCCGTGTGCTTAAAACCAGTGAAGATTAAAGAGAATCCAATATTCCTCCACCATGTGCGGTAAGATTGGCAACTTACCAGATGCCCACCGTTGTGAGCACCAAAAGAGGTGCCTTCAAATTGGAAAGCGGTCAGAAGTCTACATAGCCTCTTTGGGGTTATTCTCTTGTAATAAATGGAATGCCACCATAAATGTACTCCTGAAAGAGAAAAAAAGATTGCTCCCATAGCGTTAGTAAGTTTATTAAAAATGGGAAAGTAATCATTAAAGTGCACTCACGTGACAGTGTGCCCCAAGGCACTCAAACACAGCCAGAGATAGATAACAAACACTGCGCACGCACCTCCGCTCACTACACTCGAGCCGGCGTGCGTTCCATGGGTTGGATTCAGCCCACCGGAAGTGACGTACAGAAGGGACCAAAAAGGCCTGGCCGCTATCATCACTTCTGGTCCCTTATGCACTGAGAATAATAATACTGGGAGAGTTATATTCATATAATCACTGTATAGACTATATATTGAATGGACATTTTGTTTACATAATCATGTTGTGAGATTAGACCCATAACTTTAAATTATGCACTGTGGTTTTTTCTAAGCATCGGTAATACTGGGAACAGCACCCTTGATTTGTTGTTTGATCTTATAGAGTGTTATTACACTTTGAAGGACTGCTTCTCCCTGATAGTAGTTATATTAATTTAAGTTCCCGCCCCTTTCTGTAGTTTATTGTTTTCAAAATGAAAAGATGTTATACTTACCTGCTCTGTGCAAATATATAGTTCCCTGCCAGCCCTGTCTGTTTCCCCTGCTCTGGGTGCCTCCTTAGCAAGCCAGATGCTAAGGAGGCAACCGTGTACATGCTCTTCCAAGCCAACCTATGTGTGCTCATAGACACCCATAGTGCTGGTAAGGCACACCCCTGCTCCCTCCTCACAGAGGCATGAAGATCAGTTCAGCCTAAGTTTTTTGTCTTTTGTGTTCCCCATAAATTGTCAAAATCAGAAGTACTCTGTACTGTCAATATGCTTTTAGGTTATAAGAAATCTACACTTAACTTGTTAACCTCTGTGCATTCATAGTTGATATTGATCTTTTTGTCTTTGTTTCAGGTGATGAAGGATCCATTCCTCTAGATATGGCGACTTTACTAAAAACATCTCTTGGTCTTTAATGAGAGTCTTTTTTTCCTCTCTTTCTAATTACTTTTTCAAGGCAGTGATTTTTTTATACTGACATAAAGGATTGTGAACTGCTTTTTTTTTTTTTTTTTTTTTTTTTTTTGTAAGTATTTCTTGAGAAACTGAACTTACATTTATAGCAATTTGGGGTATCTGAGCTGTTTGATGTACTGTTTAAATTTCACAGCAGCTAGGTAATCCACATTTTGGAAGTAACATTCTGAATATGTCAAGTCATGTTTGTAACTGCAAATTCACTGGTTCTTTAGACTGTCAGTATTTTTGTATGTTTACTTGATCTCTTTAATACTATGTCCTCTATTCTATTGTATGTGGATACATTATGTATTTTTGTTATGTAATTTGATTGTCATATTTCATTTAGTGTTATTTGTATTACATGCGCCAATTCCAGTGTGTTTTTTCCCCTTATTTGGTTTATTAAAAAATAAGATTTGCAAATGGATCAGTGTGCAAGTTCTCTTTTTTTAAATAAGTATTTTGTATGTTACCAACGTCCTAGCAACAAAGCAGACTAGGATTATGCCACCTCCTGGGATTTTCTGGCCAGACTTTGGGAGTTGCATACAAAGGCATATACCTATAACAAGGGCATTACTTAAGGCAGAGCTGCACAGTTTGCTTTTTATCTAAAGGCAGTTTTTGGTTAAAGTCAACTAATCACATAAGTATATCGGCTGGTGTGAAAAGCAATGCTGTGACACTAAACTGCATGTGAGCAATCAGAACAAACCACTGCCATTCTAATAGGCCATGTATGTTCAACCTTCTTTCATTGTGGGCCACTTTGTGTGGCAGCACTGAGTTGCAGGTACCGATGACAAAGTTTTTGCTCGAGTATTAAAATGCTGTTTATCTTAAAATATTACCTAAGCCCCAGCCCTCACCCGAATATTTCAGTCTTACTCTCCCGAATTTTGGAATGGTTCCCATGTCCTCCAGTGAAACATTCTACACTCATCGAACAAGATATATCACCGGTTGATTTATGGGCACTGTTATGAGTCTATGGTACCTCTTACCACTCCATGTCCTCATTTTTACCTTTGACGGTGGCCTCTCTTTCACTCTGGTACTGACGACGAGACTCATACTTCTTTTCAACTGACCCAGGCCCACTCACTCCTTTTATTTGACAATCCAGCTTTACTGGAGAGCAAAGGGCGTTTCGATCCACGACTACCTTGGCCCACGGCACGCACTTTTTTGCATCCTTCCTTAGGATCTTTCGGCCATCTGCCAACCGTGTCTCTGGATTAATGGACTGGTTGATGACTTTACGCTTATCTCTGTACTGTAACGCTATACATGACTCAAAACAGATACATAGGCCCCCCCTTTGTAATGTACAGCACTGAGCAAACTGTTGGCGATTTATAAACACTGTATAATAATAGATTTTGAAAAACTGTCTTAGCACTGAACTGCTCCGTCATTCACTGTCACAGATATATAAACTTATTTTACAGCGCATCTGCGCGAAAAAGGGGAAGGCATATTTCTGTTGCCGCACTGGAATCGGATCGCATGGGTGTTCATACCCTCGTGATCCGATTCAGGCAAACGCACTGCATTCTGCAACCTGATTTTGAGTTGTCGTTAACTTTTAATTGACACCCACAGCAGATTGCATGAGTGATTGCTATGCGGTGCGATGCAGGAAACCTAGCGATTCCTGTGCCTTTCCCATATCACATCAGTGTGAACCAAGCCTAATGCCACTTTCACCTAGAGCTCTTATAAAATACTAAAGTGTTTCTACCTGCCCTTGCCCCATGAGGATTTGTTACAGGACTATTCTGTTAGACAAATGGATTCCCTGTTTGTTCTTTCCTAGAGACCTCACAAGGGGCACCCGGCTTCAAAATTCACCATTGTATGGTGTATCGGGAACCTGATTACAAGAGCCTATGCTTTTAAACGAAAACCTCCTCCTGTATTGTTTCACTTTCACTCCACCAGATATATCAGAGTATCCTGGGTGTTTTGGCAACTGACGTCTGTTGCTTAACTGTGTAGGGCCTCCAGCTGGTGTTCTGTTCATACTTCAAATTTTACCAGGTTGAGGTCCAATTTTCTGCAGAAGGTTCTTTCAGCAAAACTGGACTTGGGTCCTTTGCCCGTTTTTTGGGCCTGTGGTTAGTTACATTTGCCTGTTTATGTTTACCACTGCTCAAGGTAGAGAGACTCCAATCTCCAAGCACAATTTCTCCTGTAGGTGCTAGCCCAGCTCGTGTGCTGCATAGATGAGAACAAAGGAAGTCCAATCGGCTGCACTCCAAACAATCCACTTTATTGAACCAAGTAAAGACTGTAATGAATATCCAAACAGTAATGAATAAGCGCTGTCTATTTATTTATTTATTTATTTCAGGTACTTATATAGCGCTGTCAATTAACGCAGCGCTTTACACATATATATATTGAACATTTCACATCAGTCCCTAACCCTCAAGGGGCGTACAATCTAAGGTCCCTGACCCTCAAGGGGCGTACAATCTAAGGTCCCTGACCCTCAAGGGGTGTACAATCTAAGGTCCCTAACCCTCAAGGGGCATACAATCTGAGGTCCCTAACCCTCAAGGGGTGTACAATCTAAGGTCCCTGACCCTCAAGGGGCGTACAATCTAAGGTCCCTGACCCTCAAGGGGTGTACAATCTAAGGTCCCTAACCCTCAAGGGGCGTACAATCTGAGGTCCCTAACCCTCAAGGGGCGTACAATCTAAGGTCCCTGACCCTCAAGGGGTGTACAATCTAAGGTCCCTAACCCTCAAGGGGCGTACAATCTGAGGTCCCTAACCCTCAAGGGGCGTACAATCTAAGGTACTATAGCGTGAAACGCGTTTACCTGTCAGTCCCCTACTGTATTTCCACTGTCTATATTGGTTTTATCTTGGTTCAATAAAGTGGATTGCAGCTGATCGGACTTCTTTTGTTCTCATATACTTGCCTGGTTGTTGCCCCCTGGTTGTAACTTGAACGTCCCATGGTGTATGAAAAGGTTGCCTATGCCCTGTACTGTACAATTAAGATAAATAATGTTGACTTCCGCTGTGCTCTTCACTCTCTCAAATATCTGGGAACACACATCCCAGTAGATCCTACAAAGATATTCAACTTGAACTTTCTCTGAATCATGCAAATAATTTCGTAGGGACTGCCTGGAAAAATGTTGCTGTCACCTGGTTTGGGAGATGTAATGTACTGAAGATGAACGTGATGCCTCACATCCTTTACATTCTCCAAACTCTACCAATTACTATTCCTAGAACATTCTTTCATACCCTTCAAGCAGAATTTACTAGATACGTTTGGCACAACATGATGCCCTGCATCAGTAGAACGGTCTTAACGAGACCTAATCATTGGGAAGGAGTGAGACTACCTGACCTGCTGAAATATTACACACACGACACATGTTATTGATTGGTTTAAACATGGCGCCTTCGAGCTCTGGGTAGCCTTGGAAGAAGACTCGGACCTACATTAAAAGAAATTAATAGATACTTTACCTTGGCCAAATCGCCCCTGACCCCCATACTGGGACACTCAGCCTTTGTCCCTTTTGGCAGGTCAGAAGTTGGGACTACTTAGTGCTCAGGATTTCCTCCACCAGTACAACTGTAATTACTTTTCTTCGCTTTCGATGAATGTTGAAGTCATATCTCTTGACCCTTGGTGCTGACTACAACCAAACTATGCTAGATGTCAACTCTCACCTGGATCTGGACTTCCTCTCCTTTCATGGGGCGAGGACCTAGACATAACTTTCTCAGATAAACAATGGGTTATAATTCTTATTTTTGCACACAAGGCCTTGATCAGCTGCAAGTATCAGAAATATCTTACAAGATTGTCACTTGATAATTCAGAACTCCCTCCATGCTAGCCAGGCTATTCACTCGACAGAGTGACCTCTGCTGAAGGTGTGGCACTCACAGAGGAACACTCTTACCTGTATTCTGGGAGTGTTCAGCACTTCAGTCATTTTGGTACCCAGTTTTGACAAGTCATCCACCAAGTTACAGGTTATACCTTATTCAGTAACCCGTCAGCAATACTCCTTCAATTAACCTGTATGTTCTGTAAGCAATATAAGAAGTCTTATGCTACTCCGGCTGCTGAACACAGCAAAAGCCAGTATCCTTAGCTCCTGGAAGTAGGGATGCACCGAAATTTCAACCACCGAAACATCGGCAAAAAATAGCCCTATCCGGCATTTTGCCGATAGGAAAAATTTAGCCGATAACAGGGCACTATGTGTACTGAAGATGTGAAGGGGGTGATGGAGAAAGGCAGGAGAGGAGCAGTGTATACAGTGACTGTCACTATGTCAGTGCCAGCTTTTAAATGTAATTATCGACTTTTTAGCTTTTTAGCAGAGAATGACTGCTCCTTCTCTGAGCTATAGTGAAGGGGAAAAAAAAGCCGGTGATTACATTTAAAACATTGCATTGTTTTTAAATGCAATTGCCGGCTTTTTTTTTTTCTTCACTATAGCTCAGAGAATGAGCGGTCACTTTCCCCGAGCTAAAAGATACAAAGTTTCATTTTAGTTTCTTTCCCCAAGCTAAAAAGAAACAAAGCTAGCTCCGGGGAAAGTGACAGGTCATTATCTGAGCTCTAGTGAAGAAAAAAAAAAAAAACGGCAATTGCATTTAAAAAACGGCACTGACATATAGTGACAGTCAGTGCGGGAGCCTCTCTATACACTGCTCCTCTCCTGCCCCCTCCTTGCACACACTGCCCCCCCCTCCCCCTTACAAAGATGACCTGTCACTCATTCTATCACATAGGAGACTATTGGTCCCCTATGTGATAGCAATAAAATCATAAGCTCAAAAAAATAAGTAAAAATATACATGTAAGTAGAAAAAAAAATTTGGAACCTCCCCACCCCCACATACGCAGCCATTTTGGTTTCGGTTCGGTTTTCGGCGACATGCATTCTGAATTTACATTTCGGTGCACCACTACCCGGAAGAGTACATCCCCACTGATGCTGAGACAATGGTTTGCCAGAGTAAACAATACCAAGAGATGGAAGACCTTACAGCAGGTATCAAAGACAAGATCTCTGATCAAAACAAAAATTGGTACTATTGGAAAAAATTGTATATTCTCCCCTAGATACCAACAATTACTTGGCTAAATCCAGCTAGACACCCCAGGCTGCCACTACCAACAATTTCCCTTGGGAAGTAAGCCACATTGCCTTCTTTTTTCCCCTCACTTCGGTTTCTGTTTCCCTTAGCTCTAAGGTGCCCCCTCAGGGACCCTATGTTTACCGTCTCTCTGTGTCTTAAAGTTGGAAAATGTTGGCTTGCATTATACTATTGCAAACTTTACAATAATGTATTTGGCACAATACTTATTCAGTTACTGTTCATATGTACAATGTCACCTACTTATCCTATGATGATTGAATTTTTGTTTACATTGTCCATGGTGGCTATTGACCTGCATAGATGTAAATATCAATATGTCTGCCTGTGGTGATACATACCCTTTAAAATAAAAATAAATTGACTATAAAAATTATAATCCTTATCACGGAGGACAGGACAGACCACCTTCCTTAACCTCATTTTTTCTGCATGGTTCAAAACTGAGGACTCAGATTGGGGTAGGCCTATAGGGAAAGCCCCCCAGGGGTGTGTCCTCAAAGCTTGCAGTGTCCAATCACCTGAGGGTACAAGCCTATAACTCATATATACAGCACAGTAATATATACCTTACAAACATTTAACCACTTTAGGACCGCCCACCTGTATTGTACAGTAGACAGGTGGCTCCTACAGGCACTGCGACATACCTGTATAGATGGATAAAAAGATTTTTTAGGAAAAAAAAAAGCAAATTTTTAACACTTGTTTGGCGCACGCCTAACCCCTTAATTACCTGATATGTTAAGATCAGATCCATATTCGCAAACTAAAATGCCTTTCTCTGTCATCTTGGATGATGAAAGAGGATGCAGTCACCATTGCGACAAAATGCCTTAGAGCGAAGCGACAGTGTGGGCAGAAGCTGGTGGTCTAGGAGTCCCAGTACACACACACACAGATGGCTGTTACTTTCACTGTACACAATGCTTTTAGTTTACTGGGGGCCACACTGGATTTACGTATTGATGCCTGCTTATTCACTTGTTACTTGTGAGTATAATAGTTGTTTTATTAATGCCTTTATAAAAATGCATTACACTGTGAGTGAATCATCCTTCTTTGGAGTCTGGAACAACTATCCACGTCAGTGTTTCTCAACCTTTTTCAGTTAAGGCACCCTTTAAAATTATGGACAGTCCGGAGGCACCCTTTAACATTATGGACAGTCTTGAGGCGCCCCATTCTAAAATGGGTGCCTCAAGACTGTCCATAATTTTAACAGGGCACCCCATTCTAAAATGTGAAAAACTATTATAATAGTTTTATATAATGCAGCAACATCCACACATGTAGGACTCCCAACATTTAGAGGTGATTTATTCTTCCAAAGCAAATACACTTTGCACACTGGTACTGACTAGTATTCCAATGTTTTTCTTCTCCCTCAGTTTTTATCCACCACTGAGCTAATGTGACCCCAGCACTGATGGAGATGGGCAGGGGAGGGTCAAACTAGGATGCTGTGCAGGCAGCCGACATCCTTATCAACTGAGGATGTAATTGTTTGTCAAGACGCTGGTGGCTAGAAGGTCGTAATGGTGCACAATGAAAACCTGTGGCTTTGTGTAACTGAAAGGCAGGCTTGTTCCACTCGCTGGCTTTTGTACAAGTTTTGGGCACTTTTTAGACATTATGCCAAGGCACCCCAGGGTGCCTGAGCACCCTGGTTGAGAAAGGCTGATCCACATAGACAGAGGATTCCTTGAGAGATGGCTTGAGCCTACTTTCCCCCTGTTGAGGGGGGGAGATCTTGCAGTCTGAAGTCCCAAGCAGCCATCCATGCTGCTAGAGGAGGATTCCTTGTGAGACAGCTTGAGTGCCTTTTCTTGAGAAAAAGGCATTTTACTTTGGCGAGTGGTGATCTGAACTTTGTGGTGAAAGATTGTTCAGTGGTGGTGCACAGGACATTTATCAGAGGGTGTAAAGTTTTTTGTTGAAACATACCTGAAATGTGTTCACAGAAGTGAACAATCAAAGATTTAAGTGGAATCTTTGTTCCTGTTCACATCTGTTTATTGAACATTTTTTTTTGTATGTGAGCCCTGGACACCTTTGTAATTTTTGTCTTTACTGTATGTTTTCATTGACACTATATTGTTAGGATCACTTTAAATGTTTGAGGTATGTATCCCTGTGCTGTGCTCTGAGATATAATAGACTTCATTTACTTCTTAAGGCACCTAATGAGCCACACCACAACACACAAATGTAAATGGGCCTAAATATGATTGTTATTCAAAGCAATGTTCATACTTATAGGGATGTTTCAATGTGAATCTATTCCACATTTAGACACTAATACACATACATTGAGAACACTTACACAAATTGGACACTGAGGTTTCAAATTTTATTTAGACCAAGCTGAATCTTTTAATTCTTAATAACAGCAACATGACAGAAGACATATTAGAATGGTGACTCTGGTCGTTTCTTTATCCATGCTGCAATCTCTGGGATTTCTTGTACTCTCTTTCTTAGAGCCAGTAAATGAGGGTAGGCATTTGCAAAACCAGGCTGATAGTGCTCAAACATGTCACCACAGTTATCCCAGAAAAAGTCAGCCCATGTTACCTATAGGTAGTAAAAAAATAGATTAAGTAAAATTTAGTTTAATACCTAAAGGATGAGAACTTGAAAATAAAATAATGTCCTAGGTCAACACATAGGGCAGTGTCAGGTGGGACTTAGTTTATAACCACCAGTACAATGTCATACTTGTGCCACCTCAAGTTTATCTAGAGTGTATTTCCATTGAAGCAAATTGTTGGAGATGCTTGCATGTCCCATAGATTTTTTTTTTTCTCATTTCATGTGGTATAGCAACACAAGTCACCTGTATTCCATTAACAATTCTCTACGATTAAGATAACATTTTTCCTGAACTATGTAAACTACAGAACACAGACTAGGTATTCATAAACACAGGGTTTCAAGGCTCATATCTTCAGGTGATTGGACACTGGCAAGCTTTTGAGGACATACCCCCTGGACCCTCCCCTATAACTTTTCTGCTAGTCCTCAGTTCTTTGCTAGTGTCCTAATGTCACAGACCTCTTCTCCATTACAGAGAAATCATTCTCATCCTAATTTTTATTATTTATTATCTTTAGATTCTAAAATCAACTCCTTCACTGTCTTCTAATACCGCAACAGAAGCAATACATCCAGGTTGTTACAACTTCTGAAAAACCTTGGGAGCCATACCCAGCCTGTAATGTTGAACTGGATCCTGCATGGGCGTTCAGCTTGGCACTTTATGCAGTCATCCACAAGATGATATACCAGTCCAGGCCTGTGGTCCATTAAAGATAAAAATTGGGGGGGCTATGTTTGGAATGTATTTGTTTTACATTGTAAACTTGTCACTCCGAGCTTAATCTTAGGTGGATGCCCTTGTGCATTTTACTGCTATTCTGCCTGGAGCCATTATAAGGTACTCAGGCACTTCTTTTTTTGGCACGAGGACTTTGCTACAGGATGGGCTACACCTGGGTTGGTGCATACTCCTTCCAGATAGGTTTACCCTATAGCTGCACCTGAGTAACCCCTGGGGCATGGCCAAAAAGCTATCTGTTGATTATAGTTGCCATGAAAGGTGGACCATCGTAGGAGAAGTTCCTACCAGGAGGCTGGATGTCGTTGGACATACCAGTGAGCCAGATGTGACCCCAGAGTGAGTGCTGACATCCCCTGAGTTTCTACCTTGGTGACCGGATGCTGCCCGCAGTAGGAACCAGGCCTCCTTTTCCGTTGATGGTACACCTGATGACATACATACAACGCTCAGTTTGTATGTTCTTGTGGTAAGCGCATAAGTTTATTGGAATCTTCAGGATTTTACACTGAATTGAACATTTGAAGTTTTTATTTTACAAGCCTACATGGTTTTATCCACCACACATGGAACTTGGACATGCTTTAATTGATGTTACTGGGTTTTAGCAGAGCTATTGCTATTAGAGTTTCTTAATGACATTTATTTAGCGCTGCATACCTTGTTGATTTGTTTGTTTAGTTTAGAGGTGTTGAGGATTGCCCTGTATGCTAGCTGCTGCCGTTTTTTGCTTTGCGCTCACTTACCTTATCATTTTTTGCAAACCTGCCCTCTGTTCCATCCTGCTTCTCAGTCTGTTGAAGCTCAGGTTTTAGGAAACAGAGGGGTCTCCAAGTCTGGCATTCCCATATTGCTAAAAGCAAGAAAAGACACTTCTAGAAAGATCTACTCTTGTACCTGGAAATCCTTCTTTGCCTGGTGTGAACACCATTTCAGTTTCAGAGATTACTCTGTGCCTCCCATTCTGGCCTTTCTGCAATCATGTCATGACCAGAGCTTGGCCTTAAGAACTCTGAAAGAACATGTTTCGGCGCCCTTGTTCATTCTTTATCAAAAACCTCTGGCTTCGATCTCCCTTGTCAAAACCTTTTTTCAAGGTGTATCTTGATTTAAGCCCTCCTTGCTTTCTTGTTTTTTTTAACGTGATTCTCACTATTCTGTAGAAGCCACATTTTCAACCCACTAGGGACATTTGATCGCTAGAGCTTACACTTTCAAGGACAAATCTCCTCCACCCCTTTTACGTGCCCACACCACAAGGCCAGTTGGAGTTTCCTGGGTATTCTAGGCATCAGGCCTCTAGCTCTGCAGTTTTGTAAGGTCTTTTCTTGATACCTTTTCAAAGTTCTACCAGGTTGATGTCCAGACTTCTGTAGATGCAATTTTTGACTGCAAGGTTTTTCCAGCAGCACTCTAGTTGGGACTGTTGATCCTTGTTGTTGGGCCTGTTGGCACATTTCTGTTTGCTTGTTTTGTGTCCTCCCATCTCATTCATTCCTTGGGGACACCCCAGGGTCTATGAATATTCAGCCTGTGTCCTGTACGATTAAGATAAGAGGAATTTTGACTTACTGGTAAATTCCATATCTTGGAGTACAGTACAGGACACCCATCCCTTCTATTCCTTTGTTACCCTGCACTGCTTTCTACAAATCTAAGGACTTAAGGAGTGGGGTTGGGTTATAGGAAAGGTGTCTAAGGGGTGTATCCTCAAATGCTTGCCAGTGTCCAATCACCTGAAGCTACCAATATAAAACTCAGGGTCTTTGAAAATTCAGCCTGTGCCCTCTCTTTTACCCCAAGATTTGGAATCTAACAGGTAAATTCAAATTCCCCTTCCATTCTCTTAAATATCCGCTATTGTCACATGCTAGAGGCAGTTGGAGAGGAGGCCTACATACCTGTATGTTGTTGGTTTGTGGAATTACTGCAGAGGAACCACAAACAACCCACACAAACATGGAAAAAAACATTGTGTTCTGAAACAACTGATGCTGCCAATCAACATTAAAGCCTAATATTGCCTAATTATCAATAATGATGTTTGTTCAAGGGCAGAGCACAGCTTTCTAGCTGTCTTCCAGAGCACATAGTAAAAAAAAAACTCTTTGGACTGATTTTGCAGACAGCTTGTGGACCTTGCAATGCAGCAGTACTTTCACACTTCAAGGAACCTAGAATATTTTATTTAACAAACACTTTCCTTATGCACCTCTCACTTATAAAATTGTGCCTGTGGCTTTTTAAGACGTGGTAAACTTTTTCTAGCTTAGTTTTCATACAGTATGAAGTGAAAATTGTACTGTTTTTACCATGCAGCTATCCATTTTGATAAAGAATACTTACGTAGTCGCCAGCAAACCATTTCTTGTCACCTAAGGCCTTCTCCAAGCCAGACAGGATTGGCTGACCATTCTTTTCCATGTACTCCTTTATTTTCTAGGGTAAAAAATGGTGTTATGTGAGTAGTTTTCCTTTTCTTTTCCAATTTTAACATTTTAAAATGTTCCCTTACCTAAAATGTAAGAAACCCTTAACCATTGTTGAGAGTACAGACAACCACCCTTTCTGGCAATACAGGGCTCCATGAGTCAGCTTGGACTGCAACTTGACCAGGACCTATTCTAGTTTGCCCCCACTGAATATGACTGATCAATTATGTACCTGGGTCTAAATACTAATTAAAGGGAAAGCTGTACTGACCACCTTCAGGGCTAACTGGCTGGCTATTTCTGGCTTCAGTACTTTGAGACACTACTCCAGGACAAGTATACAGATCCGGACAGAGAGAAGTCACTGATGTTCCAGATCAGTAAGTCAGAAACTGCTGAAAGCAATGGAATCTGCATGATAGTTTGAGCAATTATTATTCTGGCCAATGAAATGAATTAATGTTTGATGCCTGTAAACGTGCCTAAACACTTGTAAAAGCATTTAGACACTTTTACAAGGGTCAGGTGTTTTTTCTGCAAAAATGCTGCCAGGAGGAAAATATTCAAAACATCCTGCGTACAGGAGGCCTTATGCAATTATTAGAATGTTTGAAAAGGTAATGCAATATAAATAACTTTTACAGTCAAATAATATACTCGTTTACAGAGATGAATACAGTTAAAAAAGGGTATTTCAGGAAGAATGAAAGACAAAGGGAATTTGTCCCAAATGAGGGACAGTTGGGGGGTTATTGTATCCACTTGCCGACCAGTCACCGATTTTGGTGTGACTGAATGCTTTTAAGAGCAGAGGATGGATTTGGGATCTTATTGACCCCAGAACACTCCATAAAGAGTACCTGTCACAAGGGATGTTCACATTCTTTAAAGTGACAATGTAAAAAAAATAAAATAATTAAAGTGCTCCCATCTCTCTGTGCTTGCACACAAAGACGAACACACGTGTCGGTCCCACACGCACACAAGCAGCGCTTGTCCTCACATGTGACGTATCACCCCAACCTTCAGTTCATGAGCAGTATTTCTAGCACTGTAAACTCTTTTAAAGTAGTAACATTTACATTGTTGCTGTTGCACGGGGTGTGTGCAATTTTAAAGTGTGACATGTTTGGTATCTATTTACTTGGCATAACATACTTTATAATTTACCAAAAAATGGGTTATGTACTGTGATTTTTTGCATTAAAGTTCAAAAAAGTGAATTTTTCCCAAAATATTGTGTTTTGGAAAACAGCTGCACAAATACTATGTGACAAAAAAATTGCAAAACCCACCAATTTATCCTCTGTTTAAAAAAAAAAATGATGTTATTTTATATATATATATATATATATATATATAACACATTTGGGGGTTCTATATAATTTGTTTAGCTAAAAAAACTGATTGTTACATGTGCTTAAGTGAGTATTATTGTGGATTTGACATTGAACCACACCTGCTTGGTGGCTTTATAAACAGCAATTTTAATGCAATATCAACTACTTTTAACCAGCTTTCAATCACAAACAGGGGCGGACTGACCATTTGGAAACTTGGGCACTGTCCGAGGGCCTGGGGTCAGTAGGGGGCCCCATGAGATGCCCCTGGTACCTTTTTCATAGGCTTTTTTGAGTTTGGGCAAGGACACAGGGGCCCCATGATCCCCTATTGCCCGGGGGCCCAATGAGTTGTCAGTCTGATCACAAACATCAGAGCTGATCACCTTACCTATTGCCTACAGTCTTCATCATTTTACGGTTTCAGTACAAAGTGTTGCCAGGCAGGTTGCATTGATCCAATTGGTTGCTTTTGCACTTGAAAGCTGGTTGACAGACTCAAATCAACTCTTGACAACTCTGACAATTGTCAGAATGCCTCTTTCACTGCCCAGCTACTTTGTTGTTCTGTTTTTTTTTTCTCCTAAAAGTGCCTTGATCTCTGATTTCCTTACAAAATCCAGCTTTCCAATGGGATCTGGCAAACTTGCCTTATGTGAGACACCAGTTCCACCCTCAATATACAGTTAGCTGATGCAGGCAAAAAAGTTGATAAGACAGGTTCTGAAACCCCAGTATTTCCTAGTGGCACAAACATACTGCAGGAAAGGGTCTGCAAAGCTCAAGAGAGTTTTAAAATTGTGCACCTATCTTCAGTCCTCGTCATTATGCAATACCTATTCCTAGGAAATACAGTAAAAAAAAAATGTTACGTCTGTACTGTTACTGTACTGATACATCCCTATCAACATCAATAATAGCATTCCTCACACTAAAACTTCCTCAACACTCCACTCGACTTCGACCTTGCTACCACTGAAGAGGTCACTAAGGTCTTCTCTGAAGCCCGCCTCACCACCTGCCCCCTTGACCCTGTCCCCTCACAACTCCTACGATCACCCTCCTCCTCCATCCTACGCTCCCTCACTCACATCTTTAATCTCTCCCTCTCTTCTGGCACATTCCCCTCCCCTCTAAAGCACACGCACATCACTCCCATACACCGTGTTCCAAATTATTATGCAAATTCTATTTAAGTGTCACAAAGATTAAATATTTTGTTTTTCAGTTTAAGTCATGGATGGCATTGTGTGTCAGGGCTCTTTTGATCACTATAAACAATCTCGGACACCTGTGATAATTAGATTGGCCGGTGAGCCCAATTTAAGGAAAAACTACTAAAGGAGGGTGTTCCACATTATTAAGCAGAGCACCATTTTCAAGCAATATGGGGAATAAAAAGGATCTCTCTGCTGCCGAAAAGAGTGAAATAGTTCAATGCCTTGGACGAGGTATGAAAACATTAGATATTTCACGAAAATGTAAATGTGATCATCGCACTATTAAGAGATTTGTGGCTGATTCAGAGCACACACGGGTTCGTGCAGATAAAGGCATATTAAGGAAGATTTCTGCCAGATCCATGCATCGGATCAAGAGAGCAGCTGCTAAAATACCATTACACAGCAGCAAACAGATATTTGAAGCTGCTGGTGCCTCTGGAGTCCCACAGACATCAAGGTGTAGAGTCCTCCAGAGTCTTGCAACTGTGCATAAACCTTCTATTCTGCCACCAATAACCAATGCTCACAAGCAGAAACGGCTGCATTGGGCAGAAAAATACATGAAGACTAATTTACAAACAGTCCTGTTCACTGGTGAGTGCTGTGCAACCCTGGATGGTCCAAATGGATAGAGTAGTGGATGGTTGGTGGATGGCCACCCTGTTCCAACAAGGCTGCGACATCAGCAAGGCGGTGGTGGAGTCATGTTTTGGGCTGGGGGTCGGCCCCTTTAGGGGCCCTGAAGGTGTAAAGATGACCTCTCCAAAATATGTGGAGTTTATGACTGACCACTTTCTTCCCTGGTACAGAAGGAAGAACTATGCTCTCTGTAATAAAATCATCTTCATGCATGACAATGCACCATCACATGCTGTAAATAATACCTCTGCATCAATGGCTGTTATGGGGATAAAAGGAGAGAAAGTCATGGTGTGGCCTCCATCCTCCCCTGACCTCAATCCTATTGAGAATCTTTGGACCATCCTCAAGCAAAAGATCTATGAGGGTGGGAGGCAGTTTACATCCAAACAGCAGCTCTGGAGGCTATTCTGACATCTTGCAAACAAATTCAAGCAGAAACTGTCCAAAAACTCACAAGTTCAATGGATGTAAGACTTGTGAAGCTGCTATCAAATAAGGGGTCCTATGTTAAAATGTAACGTGACCTGTTAAAATGTTTAAAAAGTTAAAATGTTGTTAAAAGTTTGATTGAAATAGCTTTTGATTTCAGTAAATATGCTGCAAACACAACAAATGACAATTTTCAGTTCTTTACAACCTATTAAGTGTTTTGAAATTTACTGTGCGTAATAATTTGGAACAGTGCATTGTAAGTGTTTTATGTTTAACAAAAATACTGTTATCATTAGGAGGTTTGTTCAATAAAATTTGAATTGTACTCTTAATAGTTGATAACATGAGAATTATGCTGACTGTTATTTACATCAATTATTTATGTAAATGAGAAAAATATCATTTGCATAATAATTTGGAACACAGTGTACTTAAAAAACCCTCCCTGGATCCCACCAACCTGAACAACCTTAGACCCATCTCCCTGCTGCCATTTACATCCAAACTCCTAGAGTGCTTAGTCTATAATCGCCTGAGTTCCCACCTCACCAACAACAACCTCCTTGATCCTCTACAGTCTGGCTTCCGCCCCCTACACTCCACCGAAACTGCCCTACTCAAACTCACCAATGACCTGCTAACCGCCAAAGCTAATGGCCACTATTCCGTGCTCCTACTCCTCGACCTCTCTGCGGCTTTTGACACGGTTGACACACCCCCTCCTCCTCAAAAAACTACACTCTCTTGGCCTCAGAGACTCCGCCCTCTCCTGGCTCTCTTCCTATCACAGCGCTCCTTCAGTGTTACCTATAACGCTGCCACCTCCTCTTCACGCCCCTCTCTCTGTTGGGGTCCCTCAAGGTTCTGTCCTCGGGCCCCTTCTCTTCTCCATCTACACCTCCTCCCTTGGCCAATTGATACACTCTCACGGCTTCAACTACCATCTCTGTGCCGACGACACACAAAATCTCTCTCTCTACACCTCACCCCTTCAGTCTCCGCCCGTATCACAAGCCTACTGAGCGATATATCAGATTGGATGTCACTCCACTTCCTCAAACTAAATCTTTCCAAAACTGAGCTCCTAGTTTTCCCCCCAGCCCGCGCCCCCCCCCCCGATTTCTCCATCAAGACCAACAACACCACCATCATTCCCACCCCTCAAGCTAGAGTACTAGGTGTCATCCTTGACTCCAATCTGTCCTTCCAGCCCCAATCACTGACAAATTCATGTAGACTTCACCTCCACAACATCTCCAAAATACGTCCGTTCCTAACCCCGGAAACCACTAAGCAACTCATTCACTCCCTTATTATTTCACGCCTTGACTACTGTAACTCCCTCCTCATCGGCTTACCTCACCGCAGTCTATCCTCGCTTCAGTCTATCTTGAATGCTGCGGCCGGACTCATCCACCTTACAAACCGCTCCATATCCGCCACCCCCCTCTGCCAATCCCGATTGCCCAACGGATAAAATTCAAAATGCTAACATTTACGTATAAAGCTGTTCATAATACTGCCCCAAACTACATCACTGATCTGGTATCCAAATACCACCCAAAACATACTCTGCTCCTCACAAGACCTCCTACTCTCTAGTTCCCTGGTCCCCTCCTCCCATGCCCATCTCCAGGACTTCTCCAGGGCTTCCCCCATCCTCTGGAACTCCCTACCCCAATCCATCAGACTATCACCTACTCTCCTCACCTTTAGGCGCACCCTGAAAACCTATCTCTTCAGGGAAGCCTACCCCGCTCTCAGCTAATTACTGAACTCCTCCACTCTTCCTACCACTCCATCCCCCACAGATATTTCCCCCTGTACCACTATCCCCTCCCTCCTAGATTGTAAGCTCCAAGGAGCAGGGCCCTCGAACCCCTCGTGTATTGAATCATATTGTTACTGCACTGTCTCGTGTACTGACTCCCATTATAATGTACAGCGCTGAGCAAACTATTGGCGCTATATAAATCCTGTATAATAATAATAATAATAACCCAGCTACATCCCAACTCTTCCCCATAACCTCTTCTTTTGCACTAGCTCAGTGCATACAGTCCTCCACTCACTCTGACGGGAACACTCTTGACCTTGTTTTCTCTCACCTTTGCACTCCCTGCAACCTCACAAACACCCCCTTTCCTCTCTCCGATCACAACCTTATCACCTTCTCTGTCTCCTCGTCCTCAAACACCTATCCCTCCAAACGGCAAACAATTACCAACAGAAACCTCCAGAACTAAAACCCTGCTCCCTTCCACTCTGCAACTGACCAACTCTACGACAGCATCCATCCCCTGTCCTGCCCTGACCTAGCCAGTACTGTCTATAACAACTCGCTTTCAGCCGCTCTAGACTCGCTCGCACCCCCAACAACACGAAGCATTAGGCCCCATCTGCTACAACCCTGGCAGACCGACCACACCAGAAACCTCAAATGACATAGTCGTGCGCTGGAGCGACTATGAGGTAAAACCAAATCCCAACAAGCGTTTCACCCGCTACAAATCTGCCTTCTTAATGTACACTTCCTCTCTTCACGCTGCCAAACAGGCCCACTTTATTACCCTCATCAATACCTTCTCCTCCAGTCCTCGCCGGCTCTTCTCCACTTTTAACTCTCTACTTTCTCCACCTCCACCTCCGCCCAGTACCTCACTTACCACCCACGAGATTGACGCAATTCGTAGGGACTTCGCCACTGCTCAGACACCCATCCCACTTAGCACTCCTCATACATTAACCCCCTCAACACTTTGCTCCCTTGACCTCATTACCACCGAAGAGGTCACTAAGATTTTCTCCAAAGCCCGCCCCACCACCTGCCCCCTGGACCCTGTCCCCTCACAACTCCTGCGGTCCCCCTCCTCTTCCATCCTATGCTCCCTCACTCACATCTTCAATCTTTCCCTCTCCACCGGTACCTTCCCCTCCCCTCTAAAGGAAGCGCACATCACTCCCATGCAAAAGAAACCCTCCCTGGACCCCTGCGACCTGAACAACCTAAGACTCATCTCCCTACTGCCATTTACCTCTAAACTAGAACGCTTAGTCTACAATTGCCTGAGCTCCCATCTCACCGACAACCTTCTCGACCCTGTACAGTCCGGCTTTTGCCCCCTACACTCCACCAAAACTGCCCTACTCAAACTCACCAATGACCTACTAAGCGCCAAAACCTATGGCCACTATACTATACTCCTACTACTTGACCTCTCTGTGGCTTCTGACATGGTTGACCACCCCCTCCTCCTCAAAAAACTGCACTCTCTTGGCCTCAGAGACTCCTCTCTCTCCTGGTTCTGCTCCTATCTATCGCAGAGCTCCTTCAGTGTTACCTATAACGCTGCCACCTCCCCTTCACTCCCTCTCTCTGTCAGGATCCTTCAAGGCTCTGTCCTCAGACCCCTCCTCTTCTCCATCTACACCTCCTCCCTTGGCCAATTCATAAACTGCCACGGCTTCAACTACCATCTCTATGCCAATGACACACAAATCTATCTCTCTACCCCTCACCTCACCCCCTCAGTCTCCAATCGCATCACCAGCCTACTAAGTGACATATCGGACTGGATGTCACTCCACTTCCTCAAACTCAACCTTTCCAAAACTGAGCTTCTAGTATTCCCCCCCAGCCTGTGCCCCCCCTGACTTCTCCACCAAGATCAAACAACACCACCATCAGTCCCACCCCTCACGCCAGGGTACTGTCAGCGCTATATAAGTCCTGTATAATAATAATAATACTGTTAAAACTCTTCTAAACAAACAACAAATGCCATACCTTTTCATCACCTTCCCAAGGAAATGATGTCACCAAGTCATCCAAATGATCAATTATGGCATCGATGTGAAGGTCATCTATCGCTGATTTTCCTGTCAGGCCTGTAGAAACAAGAATCCATATTTGTAAAATTCATGATATACAAATATTTCTAGTCATTCACTGGTTTTATTTGAAGGGTGTTGTGTGCAGAGCAGCCATTGTCTTTCACAAATGAGGTTCCCATCCCATCATTAGATGCTGCTGCTCCACTAGATTAGATCTGCTGCACACAGCTACCTACCACATGACTAGCATTTGTTTTTGAGTCATGAGATTCCCCTGGTACCTTTTTCTTGTTCAAACATTTTATTCATTTTGAAACATAGGGGGAAAGGCATAGACAATTGGCATTAGACATTGTACAGGCTGTGAAATACAGAGAAAAATGTACACAGCAGACATGTCTTTTAAACAAATAGGGAGAGAAAACATCAAACACAAAGTGCAATACAAACAAGCTTGTGACTCTAGGCATACAGAGATTATTTTAGGAAAAGGTAACGATGTGCTAAAGAGAGTTCGTTCATTGGGGTTAGAGACTCTCCAGAGATACTTAAGGAGTTGGGGAGAGGCCGAGGGGGACCAAGGAAGAGTGGGGGGGGGGGGGGGAGGTGGCGGGAATGACTCAGGACCAGTGAGAAAGAATATACATAATACGTGAGACCGGTTAGAAGTGGTACCAGCATTGTGTAGGAAAAAAAAATATTTAATCTAATTTGGATCAAGGAAGAAGGAGGGATTTGCCAAAGTTTTGCGGAAGGAAATTTTCGACCCAGGGAGTCCAGACATTCAAGAACTTAGGAATTGTATCAAGAATTGTGGCGTCAACTTTTGCGTGTATCATAGCTTGTGTTACTCTGGTTTTAACAGCAGCAATGCTTAAGGTGGGGGCTTTCCAAGATTTTGCTATGACCTGCTTGGCTGATGTGGTAACTTGCATGATAAGTTTGAATTGTGACGACGTCACATTGGGAGGGCGTAGGTTGAGAAGAGCTGTTGTCGGGGTGGGTTGGAGTATGTTTGTACTAAGTCTGGATATCATAGTGAAGACATCCGTCCAAAAAGACTTGGCTACCGGACAATCCCACCAGATGTGGTAGTATGATCCCGGGTCTACACAGCCTCTAAAACAGTTGGGGGAGTAGCTAGGAGTATATTTTGTGATTCTCGCTGGAACCATGTACCAACGGGTCAAAACTTTATAGTTTGTTTCCAAGGCCGCAACGTTCTGCGAAGATGATTTCGTATTGGCCCATATGTGATCCCAGTCAGATTGATTTAAATGCCTATCCAAGTCTGTTTCCCACCTACAGGTATATGAAGGGAAGGATGCGGTGGCCGAAGTTGTAATGAGGGAGTATAGATAGGAAATGAGGCCGCGCCTATGGGGGTCTTTATAGCAAACTCGTTCAAAGGGAGACATGGTATTAGTTTGGTTGGGTATTTTAGTATAGGGGCCATAAAAGTGTTGCAGCTGTAGATACCGGAATATTTCAGAGGCTGGGAGGCTATACGCCTCCTGTAGTGAGGCGAAGCATTTGAATTTATTTCTCTGCAAGAAGTGATGAGTGCAGAGTAGGTTAGCTGAGGTCCATAATTTAAATGAGAGTGGCAAAGACCAGGCCGGGGGAAAAGCTGGATTCTTTAGATGTGAGAGTAACGGGTTATGCAAGGATTGGAGAAGGTAGCGAGTCCTGAATTTGTCCCATAATGATAGAAAGTGAGAGGTAATGGGGTTTGTTATCGAGCGGCGGTCACTTGGTCTGAGCCAAAGTAAGTTAGCCGTAGAAAGGGGATCACAATCTATAGATTCAAGAGCAACCCCACTGAGGTATTTCATAGGTCGCATGGTATTTTGGCAACTGAGCCAGGTGTGCCGCCTGATAATATTTACCGATGTTTGGTAGACCAAGACCTCCGTTAAGTTTGGAGCGATAAAGGGTGGAGCGGGGTACGCGGGGGCGGATAGTGCCCCACACATAGGATGAAATGCGACGCTGTAGAACGCTAAGATAGTGGGAAGGTACTGGGATTGGGAGAACTCTGAAAAGATACAAACTTTTTGGAAGTATTGACATCTTTATGACCGTTATTCTGCCAAGCCATGCGAGAGGTAAGGAGGACCACTTAGTCATAAGAGCGGTAAGATGTGTTAACATAGGAGTATAATTGGCTGTATAAAGGTCTGATAAAGTAGGGGTTAGTTTGATTCCCAAGAAAGGAATATGATTCCGAGACCAGGGAAATGGAAGTATATGCTTCAAATGTGCCAGCTCCTTACTGGGGAGGGAAATATTAAGTGCCGTGGATTTGTGGGGGTTTATTATAAGGCCAGAGAGTGCTCCGAACCTCTCGAGAAGCCGGAGGAGGGGAGGGGAGGAGGTCAAAGGAGAAGTGAGAAAAAGCAGAACGTCATCCTCAAAGAGGCATAATTTATGGTGGGAGCCACCTATTTCAAGTCCTCGGACATCCGGATTAGCTCTGATTAGGAGGGCAAGCGGTTCTATGGCCAAAGCAAAGAGTAAAGGGGGAGAGAGGGCAACCTTGCCTTGTGCCCTGGGAGATTGGAAAGTGAGCAGATCTATGCCCCAGGTATCTAATGCTAGCCGATGGCTCTCGGTACAAAGAGAAAACCCAGGTTAAAAAATGCGGGCCAAAACCCCAGCGGTTCAGAATGTAGCGTAAATAGGGCCATGAAACCGTGTCAAATGCCTTCCTTATGTCCAGGGACAGGAAACAGGTAGGAATATCACGGGATTTAGCAATATGCGCCAGAAGAGTTGCGCGTCTGACGTTGTCTCCGGCCTGCCGAGATGGAATGAATCCCACCTGGTCATTATGGATTAAGGAACCTATACACATATTAAGGCATGTGGCAAGAATTTTGGCAAGTAGTTTATGTCTATATTGAGGAGGGAGATCGGCCTGTAATTGGACCATTGCGTATCGTCTGAATTAGGTTTTGGGATCATTGAGATGGTAGCTTGTACTGATTCTGAATTAAAGGTATGGCCCAGTAGTATGGCGTTAAGAGCACTAGTAAGGATGGGCGTTAGAAGGTGGGAAAATTTTTTGTAATATGTGGCGGAAAACCCATCTGGCCCTGGACGTTTACGAAGCTTTAAATTATTAATTGCGCTTAAGGTTTCAGTTGGGGTGATGGGTTGTTCTAAGGCTGCTAGGTGGTGCTCAGAGAGTGTCGGGAAGGAGATGGGCGCCAGGAGAGCATCGGCCTGGATGAGGTCAAAGGGTGTGGAGGAAGAGTAGAGTCGTGAGAGATGCTTGTGAAAGGTTTGCAGGATGCGTTCCGGGTTATTGGTGAGGTTGCCAGAAGAGGTACGTATTCGAATAGGTCTAGTTATCTGGTCAAGCCTACGAAGCGAAAGGGCTAGAAAGGTGTTGGGTTTATTTGCTTTTGTATAATATTTGTGTCTGGCTCTTCGGAGTGAGAGGTCCGCGTGGTCCGTGAGGAATAGGTCCAGAGCTAATCGGGCTCGCTCAAGAGCTTCACTGTTGGCTGGTGTAGGGGTTGCTTGGAAGGCTTGATGGGATTGGTTGTACGTTCGCTCAAGGGGAGAGGCGCCTCTGTCGTTTTTGCTTTATTTAAGTAGGATGCTTTACTAATGCAAAATCCCCGTAGGACTGGTTTATGTGCTTCCCAGAGAAGGAGAGGGGATAAATCGGGTGTTTGTTTGAAAGTTAAATAATCTTTGAGAGCTGCCTCAATTTCTTGGCAGTGAGAAGTATTCGCTAATAGATTGTCAATGATCCAGGAGGGGTCAGACGGGTATGGGGCTAGGGAGGTCATGGAGGTGAATACAGCACTATGGCCTGACCAGGGGATAGGAAGTATGTCAGAGGCCAGGAGCCGGGATGAAGAGCCAGCGGTTACGAAAATGTGATCTATCCTAGAGAAGGACTTATGAGGGTGTGAATAAAAAGTGTATTGACGCTTAGTTGGATTAAGTTCCCTCCAGGTGTCTATCATGGAATGAAGTTGCAATACGGTTTGGAAAGTGTGCTTAGAAGTCAAGAAAAGGATATAAAGTGCAGTTAGAGTCTCCGCAGACAAGCAAAGTACCTCGCGCATGATGGTCTATAACCGTTAGTAGGTGGGAAAGAAATGGTAAGGGCCTTTGATTCGGTGCATAATATGTGGCTATGATTACGTCTACATCTAGGAGTTTCCCTATTAGTAGCAGGTAACGGCCTTCAGGATCCTTAACTTCATTGCTTTAAGGGGGTTGTACGATGGAAGGCGATGAGTACTCCCCTGCATTTTGCTGTGGCAGAGGCTGTGTAGACCTGCGGGTAACGGGGGCCAAAAAACTTGGGGGTAGAGTTAGGGGTGTAGTGCGTTTCTTGAAGGCAAACTACATGGGCTTTAAGTGATGCAAAAGAGCGGAAGGCTTTGTTGCGCTTCTGTGGCGTGTTGAGGCCCTGAACGTTCAGGGTGAGAATGTTTAATGGGCCCATAAAGAGCGTTTATGGTGTGTCAGTTGACAGAGTATTGTCAGCCATGTACAAGGCTGGGAACCACTATGTAAGATAGCCTGAGTGTATAAGAAACTAGATGGGGTCATGGAGTCATGAGGTGAAAAGTAAGGGGATAAGATAAGGGATAGAGACCAGGGAGAGGTGGTGCGGGGCCATGCCAGGCCCAAGTGGCGGTCCCCAGAACCACTTAAAAACAGGGTGGTTCGGGGAGCTGTAGTAGCCCAAGCGCTATTAAATAAGCAACAGCGCAGGGGCTAAAGGGGAGTGTGCAGGTGCGCGGACCGTGGGGATGATAAAGGTTTGTCAAAAAGAGGGGAAAAAAAATGTATGATAAGGAGATCCCGGAAAAGAATAGACAAATCAGTACTCAAGCAGCTAAAGAGGTCCCGAGCTCAGGCGGCTTCTAGCACGAAAACTGAACAACAAGAATGAGAAGTATCCTTCTAGGCCGCCGGAGCTGAGGCCCCCATAAACAATCTAAGACACGATTAAGGGGTAGTGATGTCAACAGTAACTTTTAATGAGAAACAGGCTCCAAGGGATACAGGGGAGGCAAAGAGATAACTTAACCATCAACATGCAAGAAAAACCCCCCGATAAGAGTTTTTCTCCAAAACAAAAGGCAGCCTTCAAAAAGGAAAGAAACTAGAGGGCCAAACAGGCCCCGGTGGCTAGTATGAGGTTACACAACATCTGCATTGAAGCGCAAAGCAGTAAAAATAGGAACCATAGGTGGTAACCTCGCCGCTGATCTAGCGGTGATTGGTCCAAAACGGGTTCAAGAAAAGAGGTGAAGGATGCAGTTCAATCCATGGTATCCTGTGGGGGTGGGGGTGGGGGGCCCGGTGATGAGAAGCGCCCACGTTTGTGGACACTGAGTTGACCATCGGCCGAGCGTGGAGGATAGGATTTCCGCGGTGAGCAGGATGTAGATCTGCGTTTGGTGCCTTCTGACTGGCTCAAGGGGGAATGTAGTTGGAGGTTCTGTAGGGTATCCAGCAGGTCTTCAGGGGTTTTGCAAGAGTAGCCCCGGGTTTGATATCGGAAACGTACTGCAAAGGGGAAGCTCCATTTATATGGTATCGCATGATGTTGAAGCGCTTGCAGATGCGGTTTCATGGCTCTACGTTTAGCGATGGTTGTTGGGCAGAGATCCTGGAACAACTGGTAGGTGTGGCCTTGGAATTGTAGGGATTCCATTTTGCGGGCTGCCTGCAGGAGTTGCTCTTTAGTACGAAAGAAATGGAGCTTGGCTATGATATCGCGTGGTGGGCCATCAGGGCGCCGCCGGGTTAATGCCCTGTGGACCCTGTCCATTTCCAAACGGTCCATTGGAATGGATGGGGCGAGCTCCTGAAACAGCGCCGTTACAGTAGAGTGGACATCGACGATCGACTCAGGGAGGCTACGGATACGCAGGTTTGAACGCCTTGCCCGATTTTCAAAGTCCTCAAGGCGTGCTAGTAACGTTGTGTTTTCATCACGCAAGAGGTCGAGATCGTCCACATGTGTCTGGAGTGAGGCGTCGATATCGTCTACTTTCTGTTCCAGGGCCACCGTGCGTTGTCCTAGTTCGCGGATCTCTCTGGTCAGCGTAGCGGTGATGCGGTCGGAGGTTTGTTTCAGGGCTTTATGCAGCATCTTTTCAAATCGTGCTAGGAGATCAGGGGGTGTAAGGTCAGGTGTCGGGGCGTATGTAGGGGTGTCTGGATCAACATCTGACTCGCCCTCGGATGCGCTGGGGTGGCCGGGCAGTGTGTCCCTCAGAGCTGCAAGGGATCCTGCAGCCTGATTGCTGCTTTGTGATGCAGCTGTGGCCAGTTTGGATGAGGCCCTTGCTAATGCCTCCTTAATGGGCTTCTGCTGTGGTGGAGCCTGGTGGCGGGGTGCCCCTTTCACCATGGTGCTGTCAGGTGAGTGTGCCCCCTCAGATTGTGGCCCCCCTGGTCTGTGCGAGGTTATATGATTTGCCTCGTTGTGGGGGGGCCTCCGTGCGGCCTGTAGGGGGGACGGAGCCGCGGCTCCTTATATATATTCCGCCGATCGTCGGCCGTTTTTTTTACCGGGCTGGATCGGATCTGGGGGGTGTCACAGTGGAGGTGGGTACCTCAGAAGGTGCCGTGTCGGCCGGGATCCGTGGGCGGATTGCCTCTACATCCAACGGGGAGACGGAGCTCTAGCTCTCCATGTCTGTCCCGCCGGCCGCGCATGCGCACTCCATCCCCTGGTACCTTTTTCATAGGCTTTTTTGAGTTTGGGCAAGGACACACGGGCCCCATGATCCCCTTTTGACCAGGGTCCCCATGACATTGGGAGGTGTGGCACTATAAATATGGTCTAAGAAACCAGAAGCAATGATCTTTTTGTCACTTCTGGTTTCACTCCGTTGTAAACAAGCTGTTACTGGCTTGTGAAAGCATCTGATCGAACCGATCTCAGTTTGATCTGATGCTTTTAAGGGCAGAGGAGAAATCTGGGGTCTAATAGACCCCAGATGTCTCAGTAAAGAGAACCTGTCACTGCCCATGCTGTCACAAGGGATGTTGTCCATCCCTTGTGATTGCAATAAAAGTGATTTAAAAAAAATAAAGATTAGAATTAAAAAAATATATATTTATAGTGCCCCACCTCCCAATGTTTGCAGAAAGGCAGCACATACATAGCTCACATGTATAAACAGTATTCGCACCACATGTGAGATATTGATGCGAACATTATAGTGAGAGCAATAATTCTAGCACCAGACCTCCTGTGTAACCTGGTAACCTGAGAAAGCTTTTAAAAGCATCGCCAATGAAGATGTTTAAGTACCATAATTTGTTGCCATTTTACACAATTTTAAAGCTTGACATGTTAGGTATCTATTTACTCGATGTAACATCATCTTTTATATTTTACTAAACTATTGGGTATTATATTGTGTTTTTGGGCATTGAAATTTATTCAAGTGTATTTAAAAAAAAATGTGTTTGAAAACTACTGTGCAAATACCTTGTGACATAAAAAACACCATTTTGTTCTCTAGGGCCTCTGCTTAAAAAAATATATATGTATATATATAATGTATATAATGAGGGTTGAAAATAATTTTCTAGCAAAAAAGGGCAGGTATTTACATGAATGAAGTGTCAGAATTGGCCTGGTATTGATGTGGTTAATGCTTGGTATCACTTGCAATTACTTAAGCAGAGAACTCTCACTGTCAGATCATAGAACGACTTAAACTTGACATGGCTTTTTCACTTTATGTTCCCTTCCACATAAACTCTATTGAAAACAGTTGTGGAATGACAGTCATGTACATGGGCGTGTAAAATGGGTGCCCCAGCCCTGTTTGCACACAGATACAATTGCCACTTATCCCTCTGATTTGTTTGCCATGCTGACACATACCACCTGTCTATACAGGCAAGCAATCACTCTGTAGGCTGCAAGGAACCCAACAAGTATAGCCAGCTTAGCCGAACTGCAGATGAAATCAGAAAGAGCACTACGTGGACAACAGCAGGAAGATCATATAGAGATAGGGAGCTAACATAAAGCAATGTGCAGAATTTAGAAAATGGGTCAGTTCTTTGTTAAAGAGATTGAGTCTATGTTACTTCATATAATATAGCACAGTGATATGGTGTATATCTCACAATAATAATAAAAACATTCAAAGTTTAAACTTCATGTTTTTTTTTTTATTGTGAGGCATATATCACTGTGCGACTATATGGGGCAGTATAGACCTAATTTTTTTGATACTTTTTTGGGGTATTAAATACATCAGCGTTTTTGGTTGTTGTTGTTTTAAGTATTTTATGATTATCATTTGGTTTATTAGGGAGAGAGAAAGAGTTAAAAAAAAAAATCTCCATGTACCGTGGATTCGGTATTGTTTCTTATTTGGGTCAGCTCTTCACGTAATGTGGAAAACCTCTTTGAATATGTCACATCCTTGACCTTGAAATTATTAATCTGTTTCGAACATCATACTTCTTACACATTCTTCCCTCACCATTAAGTAGACATTTTCTCTACTTGCCTGCTTTAATGCCCAAAGTTGTTACAGAAATCTCTTAGGTACATTTGTTACTTTTTCATTTCTTCACACAGTGCCGCTAGTGATTTAAGTGATGTATCACATGTCTGTTCATAATTGAAAGCTACTTTTAAGCTACAGCAACATTTAAAATGAATAATACGAATTAAAAATTTAACTACCGTATGTCAGTTTGCAACAGTATGTTACCATAACAAATTACCTTACCTGCTTGTCTGGCCAGGTATCTGCCAATAGCAAGGCTCTGACTATAGGTAACTCCATCAATATCTAAAACCTGGGACCTTTCCAAATGGGTAAGCTGCAAGAAAAAATAAAGTGAAAAAAAAAGTGAAGGGATCATATAAAATCTATTGGAAGTCACTGCACCCTGTTCAGGGAGTATCTTCCCAGGTGCACTGCCGCAAAGTAGCCTCAGATGATAAATAAAAAAATAGATTTGCTCACAAGTCTTGAGCAGGACTATGTGTTCAAACAAGAGGAGTTAATTTTGTCTAACCTTTTGATGGATCACAATCCATAATTATCAAGGTTTGACAAAGATGGACATGAGGCGATTTTAGCCATATTAGGCAAAGTTCACAGCTGTGCAGATGGTTGCCTCTGTAGGGCCTGCACCCACAAACACCCACACAGTTAAACACAGGAGCTGAGGGTAGGTGCCATTAATCCTAGGAAACACATTGTACTTGTTCCCCTGTGAGCTGCATTTTCAAAAATAGTGCAGGAACTTTTTCTGTACATTCCACAGGGCACGGCAGCCCATGCAAATGAATGGGTTGCCCTGGCTGCACAAAATGCGGCCGCACGAGCTGTATAGATGTGAACCTAGCCAGTGTGCTCTTGTGACAACAAAGCTGATACTTTTGACATTTGCATAGTTACATTTTCTGGACAAGCTTTCAGGGTGTAATCCCCTCCTAAAGCTCAAGCAGTACTCATATATAAAACATTAGCAAAATGTTAAGAGTAACAGTATCTGAAAACAGAAAAAAAAAAAATACACATGGTAATTAAGGCTAGGTTCAAAGCTGTACAACTTAGTTGAACAACAAACTGAAATCTTTTAGGTGCAGGGAAGTAAAAATATAAAACAATAATATGGTTGCATAAGTGTGCACAACCTTAATACTTTTGTTGAAGCACCTTTTGATTTGATTCCAGCACTCTGTCTTTTTGGGTATGAGCATCAGCATGGCACATCTTGACTTGGCAATATTTGCCCACTCTTCCTTGCAAAATCACTCCAAATCTGTCAAATTGTGAGGGCATCTTCTGTGCACAGCCTTCTTCAGATCACCCCACAGATTTTCGATTGGATTCTGGCTGGACCATTCCAAAACTTTAATCTTCTTCTGGTGAAGCCATTCCTTTGTTGATTTGGGTGTGTACTTTGGGTCATTGTCATGCTGAAAGATGAAGTTTCTCTTTATGTTCAGCTTTCTAGCAGAAGCCTGAAGGTTTTGTGCCAATATTGACTGGTATCTGGAACTGTTCATAATTCCCTCTACCTTGACTAAGGCCCCAGTTCCAGCTGAAGAAAAACAGCCCCAAAGCATGATGCTGCCACCATCCATGCTTCACTGTGGGTATGGTGTTCTTTTGGTGGTGTACAGTGTTGTTTTTGCGCCAAACATATCTTTTGGAATTGTGGCCAAAAAGTTCAACCTTGGTTTCATCAGGACATAACACTTCAGATGTGTTTTTGCAAAATTTAGCCAGGCTTGGATGTTTTCCTTCGTAAGAAAAGGCTTCCATCTTGCCACTCTACCTCATAGCCCAGACATATGAGGAATATGGGAGATTGTTGTCACATGTACCACACAGCCAGTACTTGCCAGGTATTCCTGCAGCTCCTTTAATGCTGCTGTCAGCCTCTTGGCAGCCTCCCAGACAAGTTTTCTTCTCATCTTTTCATCAATTTTGGAGGGACGTCCAATTCTTGGTAATGTCACTGTTGCGCCATATTTTACTTCACTTGATGATGACTGTCTTCACTGTGTGCCATGGTATATCTAATGCCTTGGAAATTCTTAGTGTTTTATGTCCCCCCCCCCCCCCCCCCCCCCCCCCCCCAAAGAGAATTCAGTTTGTTTTTCAATTGAGTTGTACAGGTTATAGGTCACATTAAAGGTGGAAAAAGTTCTGAAATTATTTATCTGTGTCTCATTTTGTTACATCACAGAAGCCTGACATTTTAACAGGGGTGTGTAGAAATTTTATATCCACTGAATATCATGGGCAGTGCATACCAAAAGTGGGCTGCAATCCATAAAAATAGTTGATGGCTTACACTCCTCTTGGTTGGACATATTCTTCTGCCCAAGACCCATGAGTGACTCTACTACCTTTTTATTTATCAAAAGTCAGGAAATTGTAGTCAGAATATTTTTCTTTCCACTAAAACAAGTAGCATAACATTCATTCATTCATTCATTCATTCATTCAGAGCCTAATAACAGGATGCAAAAATGCCTGGAAATCATTATTTTTTGTAAATGGTATTTTTGTTGAAAACTTTAAATAACAAAAAAAACCTAAAAAACAAAAAAATGTTGAAAGAGACCTCAGTTAGCAGCTCACTTATCTATTAAAGTTTTTCAGCTGCCAGGGTATTATTGAACAGTGATCATGTGAATAGTCTGCTAAGTTATTTTTCAGAACATAATGCAAGTACTTTCAGGTTAATATATTCCTTTGGTCCTGCAAATAAAGGGCAAAGCCAGATGGGTGCTTTCCTTACACCAATGATCTTTTATGGTGGAAGTGATGGAAATACCCCAATGGAGATAGAGAAAGCCATACAATCTTGGCATTCATACAGTATATTTCTTTACTAATGTGTTCCTGTCTGTGTCTCTCTTGAACAGATTTGTCCCCTGTTCCTGACCTCATAAAAAGAAAAACACATTTTTACATTTCTTCATTCTAACTAGAAAAAAATGTTCTACTCAAGTTCTAATGTAAAGTGAAAGTCCAGCCTATTCCTAACTAAGCTTAAATCTGCTCCCTCAGCCCTTCCAAATCCTATTCTATATACCCTATGAAAGAAGAATGTGTATACTTACCTATTCTGAGAGCGATCTGGTTTGGTCAAATGATCAACTGACAGTGGTGGCTTCAGAGTAGAGGCAGGACAGCTGACAACAGATGCCTCTTATGCAGGTCATAGATGGGTCGAAAATCGGCCGATTTTTTCGGCCGAAAATAAAATCGGCCGATTTTCGGATCGTTAGTGGGCGATTTGGTCGGCCGTTTTTCGGTATTTTGGCCGTTTGTTTTTTTCGGTAAAGTTGGGAAAAAATCGGCCGATTTTGCCGATCGGCCGATTTTCGCGGCAATTAGTGGGCAAATCGGCCGATTTTTTACCGATAAAAAATCTGCGCATGAGCAGTGACCTGCAAGAGGAAGACAAAAAGAAAGAAAAAGAAGAAGAGGATGAAGAAGAGGATGAAGAAAGGAGGATGAAGAAGAAGAAGAGGAAGAAGAAGAGGAAGAGGATGAGGATGAAGAAGAAGAAGAAGAGGATGACGATGAAGAAGAGGATGAGGATGAAGAAGAAGAGGATGAGGATGAAGAAGAAGAAGAAGAGGATGAGGATGAAGAAGAAGACGAGGATGAGGATGAGGATGATGAAGAAGAAGGAAGAAGAAGAGGATGAGGATGATGAAGAAGAAGAAGAAGAGGATGAGGATGAAGAAGAAGAAGAAGAAGAGGATGAGGAAGAAGAAGAAGAAGAAGAGGATGAGGATGATGAAGAAGAAGAAGAAGAGGAAGAAGAAGAAGAAGAGGATGATGAAGAAGAAGAAGAGGATGAGGATGAAGAAGAAGACGAGGATGAGGATGAAGAAGAGGATGAGGATGAAGAAGAGGATGACGATGAAGAAGAGGATGAGGATGAAGAAGAAGAGGATGAGGATGAAGAAGAAGAAGAAGAGGATGAGGATGATGATGAAGAAGAAGAAGAGGATGAGTATGAAGAAGAAGACGAGGATGAGGATGAGGATGAAGAAGAAGGAAGAAGAAGAGGATGAAGAAGAAGAAGAAGAAGAGGATGAGGAAGAAGAAGAAGAAGAAGAGGATGAGGATGATGAAGAAGAAGAAGAAGAGGAAGAAGAAGAAGAAGAGGATGATGAAGAAGAAGAAGAGGATGAGGATGAAGAAGAAGACGAGGATGAGGATGAAGAAGAGGATGAGGATGAAGAAGAGGAAGAAGAGGAAGAAGAAGAAGAAGAGGATGATGAAGAAGAAGAAGAGGATGAGGATGAAGAAGAAGACGAGGATGAGGATGAAGAAGAGGATGAGGATGAAGAAGAGGAAGAAGAGGAAGAAGAGGATGAGGATGAAGAAGAAGAAGAGGATGAGGATAAAGAAGAAGAAGAGGATGAGGATGAGGAAGAAGAAGAAGAGGATGAGGATGAGGAAGAAGAAGAGGATGAGGATGAAGAAGAAGAAGAAGAAGATGATGAGGATGAGGAAGAAGAAGAGGATGAGGATGAAGAAAAAGAAGAGGATGAGGATGAAGAAGAAGAAGAAGAGGATGAAGAAGAAGAAGAGGATGAGGATGAAGAAGAAGAAGAAGAAGAAGAAGAAAAAAGAGGATGAGAGGATGGAGAAGAAGAAGAAGAAGAAGAAGAAGAGGAGGATGAGGATGATGAAGAAGAAGAGGATGAGGAAGAAGAAGAGGATGAGGATGATGATGAAGAAGAAGAGGATGAGGATGAAGAAGAAGAAGAAGAGGGTGAGGATGAAGAAGAAGAAGAAGAGGATGAGGATGATGAAGAAGAAGAAGAAGAAGAAGAAGAAGAAGAGGATGAGGATGAAGAAGAAGAAGAGGATGAGGATGATGAAGAAGAAGAAGTAGGATGAAAATAAGAAGAATTCCAGTCCAGCAAAAAGTGTCTCTGCAGAGAGCTCCGCTATTTTCTGACAGTTCTTTGACATTTACAGCGGTTGCAACATTGTATCTATTTGTTTCCGAATAAAAACATCTGTATCCGAAATGGAAACAAATAGATACAATGTTGCAACTTCTATAAATGTCAAGGAACTGTCAGAGAACTGTCAAAGAAATAGCAGAGCTCTCTGCAGGGACACTTTTTGCCGGCTCTAGACCGGTAGAAAATCGGCCGATTTTTTTTACCATTGATGGTAACGTCGGCCACTTGAACGACCGATTTTTCGTTTTTTAAAAGAAAAATCTGCCGTTTTTCTCCCCATCTATGGCCTGCATAAGTAAGCCTAAGGGTGACAGTAATTTGTGGCAGCTGAGTAACTAGAGCAGGGTTTCTTAACCAGGGT